GTTTAAAGATTACAGTATACAAAATATATATTTGCTCACCTGCAGCATTTGTCCACTTTCTTTAGTACTCCCATCTAGAGTGTATTCTCACATAAATCACTTTTTGGTTTATATTTAGTTACTGTTTAATCTGTACCTGAAAACTGGAGATCCTAATTTGTAACAAGCCTGGTAAAAATAGAGACCCAAATCTGCTCCTATTAAAGCCAGCCTGAGTAGGACTGGAACCTCATACTTTAAATGCTGCCACTAACACTGAACTAATCTCATTTAGTTTAGACAGTCTGAGCTTTTTCTAACATTCTGTTTCATTCAAGAGGTTTAACCAGTTTAAAAAACATCTATACCAATGATTTCGCAAACCATAGATTCATAATTACATTTAAATTTTAGATCAAATTTATTACTATTCCTAGCTCCAAATCTAAGTTACTTTCTTAAGTAAAAATTAACTCCCTCTTACTGCACATTCAACCTTTACCAACAGGCCAATTTTATTACTCCTATGGAAGAGAGTTTAACAACACAGCATTAATCTGGATCCCAGATTCACAAGTCAATGACCTACTGTATCAAACTTTCTTTTTTTGGGTGTGGCCTGCAAAACCAAACTCGCAATGATGTGTTAGTCACTTTATTCCAGGGTGGATAAAAATCAATGATTTTTTAAAAAAAATAAAAAATAAATTTAAAAAATCAGATTATCAAAAAAATCCAATTTAAATAAAACAATCTGATTTTTGAGGGGAAAAAAAAAATCTATCTAAAGATAAAGATACATTATAGCTCAAAGATATCTCATCATGGAATTGGGATTATAAATTCTAATTCTACAGTATGAGACAATATATTCATACAACGTTTAAGAAAAGTTTTGTAAATGAGTTCCAACAGTTCATGGATTCGGGATCCAATTTTATGGGGTTCCAGGGGCTTCTGCATAGATTATTTAGGTTAATCTTTCTATCTACCCAATGAGACTCAGTGCTCAGTCAAGAAGACACTTAGTAAAAGCATCAGAGATGCTTAGTTTTGCAGTTCTCAAACTGCGGATTTGTGTCTCCAGAGATAACATGCTTTTTTAACAGCAAAAATGTTTTTAAATAAATAAATGATATATAGAGGTGAGAAATAACAGACCCTATTGTCCCTCTGCAAATTTGTGTACCCAGAATCAATCCCTTACCTCTCTCTAAAAGTGCAAAGTTTCAAAAAGTTCAATGAATAGAAGATTGTTGGGGGCGGAATAGATCTGGACAAGGAGAAGAAGTCTGGAGATAAATGTGAGAAGGGAGGGACAGGCAGTAGAAACAGAAGTGAAACTGAGCAGCATATCACAGAAGTCTTGAGGTCTTTCTGAGAGTAGCCTTCATTAATTTGAGATCTACCATATCATTCTCTTACTACAAGGGAAAACCTATAATGGCAGCAGGCCATAAAAGAGATACAGTTTGGGAATATTTTAATGAAGTTCCTCTACCTGAGGGTAAGACAGGCATGCGTGCAAAATGCAAACAGTGCAACAAATAAATGCAAGGCCTGGTTGCCCAAATGAAACATCAAGAGGAGTGCTCATTCTCAGGAGGAAGCTGCGTTGGTGATGATGAAAGGAACATGTGTGAACATGCAGGATCTTCAGGTTGGTAAACTTTTTTATTTCATACTTCTTTCTTAAGGACTGCCTGTCTTCCTTCTGGACTATTCCTGAATTCTCATGTTTGAGCAAAAAAATAGTTGTTACTCTGCGGTACTATCATTTTAGATGCAGTTGTGATAAAAAATAGCTGAAATAGGCAGATCTTCCTTTTACAATTTCACCTTTAAAGTAGTACTGAGTGTCAGCGAATGCAATGAGTAATACTAAATGAGCAGTATGGTAATAATAATTAAATAACTGCATTGACTTATTTTGTTTAGGAAAATCCATCCTAAACATACAGGATTCTGAAGACTATCCCCCTTCAAGATCACCATCATTTTCTATAGTTTCAGAGTTATCTGCCAATGACAGTGTTTCAATCACATCATGTATGTCACACAGCCACAGTATATCACCTGTAGCAAAAAGAAAAAAAAAATCTCTATCATCCAGAAACAACCATATATAAGTTTGTGATAAGAATCAGCAAATTACAAAAAGAGGTAATTGAAGAAAAAATTGCCCTGTTTGTTTATGCAACAAACTCTCCTTTCCGTATGATTGAGAACCCACACTTCATTAACATGGTACAGTCATTAAGACCATCCAACAGAGCAGTCCACCCAAAAGTCTACCCAACAGTCCACCCAACAGAGCAGATGTCGCAGGCAAATTGCTGGATAAAGTGTATGAAAGAGAAATTTAGCAGTATGCAAAAGATCTAGAGGGTGAAATCCTTAACCTGAGTCTTAATGGGTGGAGCAATGTCCTGTTGCATGTGCTTATGTGACAACAGAAGAAGGGAATGTCTTCCTTACAGAAACAATTGATACATCAGGAAATGCACACACAGCAGAATACTTACAAGAAGTAGCAGTAAAAGCTATAACAAACTGTGAAAAAAAATTCAAATGTCTAGTACCCAGCTTGGTCACAGACAATGCTGCAAATGTATCCAAGACTAGAAGAAATTTAGAAGAGAGTCCCAAGCTAATAACATACGGTTGCAGTGCTCATTGATGCACCTCCTAGCCAAAGACTTCAGAGTTAAATTACAAGCATTAAAAAAACGAATGGGACAAGCACTATCTCCAGTTCATTTTCTTGCAAATATTCTCAATACTTGGTATCAGGGTCAAACCTTAACTGCTGAAGAAGAGAAGTTGGCTATGGCATGGACTTCCAGCAATCATCCCTCCATAATGCCAACTATAATAAACTTCAGAGCTAAGGGTGAACCATTCAAGAAATATATGTTTGCTGATGATGTTTCAAAGAAAGTCACACCAGTGAACTGGTGAAAGTCACTTAAGCACTTAGATTCAGAGACTGTTGAAGTGATAATCTCACTTTTAACAGAAGAAGCTTCTTCTGCCAGTGTAGAAAGAATATTTTCTTCCTTTGGACTAATTCATTCCAAATTGAGAAATCGTTTGGGACCTGAAAAAGCAGGAAAGCTTGTTTTTCTTTTCCAGATTATGAAGAAAGAGGAAAATGAAGGTGAAGACGACCGAGTTACCTGCAGAAGCCAATATTTTAAGTTTCTCATGTTGACCTGGCTGACATAGTTGATTTAATTTTTGATTTGTTTTTTAAATATTTCATTTAACTATTTTAGTTAAAAACAATTTTAACAAAAACAAACCTGATTTTAAAAAACTTGAATGTTTAACTAAATTCAAAAAAACATATGCTTGCTTTGTTAAAGTATTAAATGTTTGCTGTTGAAGAAAAAAAATCCAGAATATATAACTGTTGTTTTAGTTAAATAAAACAATTTAAATGTGTCTGGTAATGTTCTCCTCCTAATAAAGCATGGCGAGAAAATCCTCCAAATATTAATGATTAACCTGTTGAATTGGAGATATTTATGAAGTCATTGGGACGTGAACTATCTGCTTCATTTACGTTTGGTAAATTAAATAACCAAACAATCATTCATTTTCTGATATAGCTGTTAAACTAATCTGAAAAGTTTTCAAAATAAATCACTTTAAAAATGTATTGCATGCACCTTCTAAAAATGAAACCTACATCTATCTCTGAGTTGTGAAGAATATGTATTAAGGTTATAACAACCAACAAGAATGCACTTTTATGCAGAAATCCATGATTAAATCAGGTCTTCCTGACTAGTGATTTAAATCATGATTTAAATCAAATCCACCCTGCTTTATTCGGTATAGATGCTACTGTACAGAGAGCTACTCTCTGGTACCAGTTTGCCCACCAGACTAGAATTCCACCACCTGGTGCCTACTGGTACAAGGCTTCAATGACCGTTGGGAATTAAATGGGGTCTTTTTATGTCTTTTTTCCATTTGTTCCGGTTTGATTCTTTAAGATATGCTTGCCGGTAAGATTCTGTCTCCAACAGTTAACCATACTGAATTTAGTTATTCGCAGTTAAAATATCCTTTGGTTTAATCCCACCTCTAATTAATGGAAGGACTAAAGTCCAATAATTTACTTTTCAAACTCTAACGTGTGAATCTGCTATTATAACTATACCTGTTCAAGCCTGCTCTGAAGTTGTGAACAATTAGCTTAAAAAAAAAGTTCAAATGTGAACAGTGTTGCCAGAAACATGCTCTACCCTACCTTTTTTAAAGCATTATCCATTGTTTCTCAGTTTTTTCTTTGCTGCCCAAATGTCCATGCAATAAAGAAAGTGAGATTGCTTTTTTACCTGAGAAACTGCCATTTGTTTATTCCTTTCCTCCTTCAGCCTATTGTTCAATAAACTATACACATGCCTGCTTGTCTCAAGGCCCAACAAGGGCCCGTCCCCCTCCTCAAGGCCAGGCAGTCCCATCAAAAGCAGCTGTCAGCAATCAGGCACAAATCAGACGCGATTTTCTCGAAGCCTAATAATAATGCAAGCATTATTTCCTGTCAAGACAACTGAAGCAGAAGATATTGAAAGGTACTGTCAGCTCCACAAGAAGTTTGGTGTCACTTTTCACTAAGAGGTGCTTCACAAGCAGCACCAAAAGGTGCGTGGATTTTTAAATGAAGACCAATTAAATATGCAATATCCCACCCAGATTTAAAAAAAAAAAAAAAAACGATTTTCAGTATAACCATAATTACTGAGATCTGAACGGAGGTTAAAAAATATGACTTGCTGGTGGGTCGTAGAAACAGGGAACCCCCAAGTCAGCAGATGGGCCCGGGGGAGGGGGGCGGTGGAGGAGGCTTTCAATGAAGATCAAGACAGATTGCATGGTTTTTCTTGTTTGTTTTTTTAAGCAACAGCCTCTCAAGGGCACGGGAGCAACGTGTGCACCAAACACACCCTGCCCCTGCCTCGGCCAAGCAGAGGCTGCTGAGCGATGCGCGTTCGGCTCTGCAGGTCTGACTCGCCGCCGGTAACAATGCACTGATGGCTGCTGCGGGGGAGCCGGGAATGCGGCACGTTGCAAACTCATCGTGCCGCCTTTCCCACCCCCGCCAAGACAATACCCCCGCCCCCGGGGCACGCCGAGAAGCCCCCGCAGGGGCCCCCCGCCGCCGCGCAGGTTGGAAAGGCTGGCCGGAGAGCGGGGGGGGCAGTAGGGACTTACCTCTGGGGCTGCTCTCCGGTAAATAGGGCGGCGCGGTGGGGGTGACATTGCCGGAGCTGGGCGCGGACAGCAGCGGGGAGCGCTCGTCCACCCCGTCAGCAGCCATGACTACTGCGGCAGCAGGGCAGGCTCAGCCCGGGGAAGCGCTCTCCTCGCTCGGCCGGCGCGCGAGCGTGTCACACGGCGCCGGAGCGGGGGGGAGGGGAGCGGGACCAGCAGCGCTAGAAGACGGGGGAGGGACTGGGAGCGGGCCCAGGAGAGGGAGCGGGACCTGAAGGGGAGGGGGTGGGACTAGCTGGCCCTCTCTATGTCACAAGCTAAAGAGGCGGAGGATGGGGAAGGGCAGAGCTTCCACTCCCTGCAGCCTCGGCCGGAGTTGATGGGGGTGAGGGGGATAACTTATGTGGCAGCTGTTTTTGTTTTCCAGGGTAGCTGATGCCTGAGCCTTAAGATGAGGATTGCAGGAAGGAGCAACTGGTGTGCAGGCTCTTCTCCCGGGAGAAACTGGGACATGAGCAGGAGCCAGAAGCCTATGGTTGCCCAGGCCACCACTGCAGCAGGAGAGGACAGCCCTGGCACCTGGGATTTTGTCATGAGGTGCCCGCACACACACACAGGACCCCCCTCCTCCTTGCTTGCTACACCTGTTCTCTCACTGTCCTGTCACTAGTCAAGAGCTGTCTCTTGCACCAACCAAAGTTGGTCCAATAAAATATAGCACCTCACCCACTTTGTCTCTCTAACATTATAAATAAGATTTTCATTCCAGAATTCTATGCAGACACCATTAGCATGGGGAGATAAAGAGATGGGTACATTTTGCTTTTTCATCTGGAAGCTTACTAAACAAAGGAGGAAAAATTAGTATTTTCTCACTCTCTGCTTTTTTACTAGTGGTTTGATCTGTTATGTCTCTCTCGCTCACTCTCAAGGTTTTTATATGACAGTTTGCAGGGGGGTGTCTGCACAAAATTAAAGATCCCATGAAAAAAATAATGTTTTTAAAAATAAACTAAAAAAAAGAGATAAAGATAGAGTAAATAACAAAAAGCAAAGGGAGTTGATCCATGTAGTAGCTGGCCTTGTTACTACTTTTTCAATTGCATCTTTCAAAAACCTGATGAGGAGGCAGATGTTTCCTCCCTGTGATTGTAAATACTGATGTGCTTATGAAGATGATAGCAAATCAGTGACCTTTATTACAGTTTTAAATATGCGTAAGGAAATTCATACTCTTTTTGTCATTTGAGTCTGCTGCTCATCTGGGAAGGGTCTCCTCTTCTGGTGTCAGTGAACTCCCTGAGGACACAAGGCACCACTTAATACTGTCCCTGCCTGAAATCCCACTCAGGCACCAGCTGGAAATCCCAACTGACGAACTGGGGATAATCTTTCCTATTGTATTTTTTGCCCTAGATTGCAAAGAGACGTATGCTTGTCACACTGTGTCATCTTGATACATTACCCACAGATTAGAGATTTCAAGGCCCTCCTAATGTGTGGCATGTAAGTGATAACACAAGAAGGTGTGCAGTTATTCTGGATAATATCATATGCCTGAGGCATTAGGTGGATTGCCAAGTATCATCAGCCATCCCAGAAGTGTGGTTATCTAGGACAATTGAACTTCCTGAAGTGTGAATTGGGAAAATGCTCTTACATTTTTGTAACAACAGGATAATAAGTCCTGATCCTGAACTTTGAAGTTGGATGCACACACAGCGATTTCATTAGCTAGTAGATTCCTTCCCTCTTAATTTTATTTTATAAGATTTATTACTTAGAACTGGCCAAAAAAATTCTGACAGAACAGTTTTCCATTGGAAAATGCTGATTCAAGGAAATAGAAACATTTCACAGGAACATATTGATTTTGTCAAAATTTTAGATGAGAAGTTATCAAAACATTTCCACTTAACTGAGATTGAAATGTTTCATTTCAATAAGGATGATGTGTTTCATTTTGAATTTATCATTTGACTCGTTAATATGATACGATAGCCAATTATAAATTTAAATGAAACAATTCAAACATAACAAAACATTTCAACCTTATTGAAACATTTTGACATTTCTGAAATGAAGTATTTCAGGATTGTCCTTTCACGAGAAATTTCAACTAATCGTTTTGATTCAGGATGAAAAATAATTTTGAAATGTTGGCATTTCCTGCAGAATGGAAATTCTGATATTTGACCAGCTCTAATGTTGCCATGTGAAGAATAATACCTGACAGGGAACCTGGTGGTTAGGTGCATATTGGCAAGGAACCAGGCTGAAGGCCAAGTTTTTCCCTCACCCAGCAAGTGCCCTCTTGTCGTCTCCAAACACTGTGCTCTCTGGAGTGTTCTGTTCCCCTCTGAAAATGCTATAACTGACTTTTCAAGAGGCAAACTTCAAGGCTACATAGTTCTGAACCATGTGATTTTGTTTTTGTCCTTTCATTAAATTAGACTGATCCTGAGAGGTGCTGAGCAACCCAAATTCCCATAGATTTAAATAAGAGCTGGTGGTTCTCAGCACTGCTCAGGATCAGGGTAGACTTTAGAGCCTTTTCCTGCAAGGACCCTTTAAACTCCCATTGATTAGATGCCTAAATACCTTTGAGGATCTGGGCTAACATGCTGCTTAACCCCAACTCTCGTTGGTGTTCTAAGATAGTGTTAGGCTAATATCAGAATCTCAATAATAGGTCTTCAATATTTATAGTTGAAATGTACCTCCAGCGCAGCTTCCTACTGTGGCCCTGCTATCAAGTACCCAGTTTTCAATAAATATACGGATTTCTAATAAAGGAACTGACATTTCCAGCCACACACCTTTACCATTTCTGCTGTACTGTGAAAGATACAATAGCTAGAAAGGATAAATAAAAAGAGGTAGAAGATAGGCAGGTTCACCAATGCCCAGTGCACTGCAGTTACAGGAAATTGATTGTGTGAGACCCATCCACTGCATTTTTCCATGCCTCAGAGAAAGACTTAAAAACCCTAATATCACTGCCAATTGCCTAAATGGAAAACTACATTACAATTCAGATCTGTTAATTAGTTGAACTCTGGGTATATGGGCAACAATTATTGTAGCTAAGCATCTCATTATACTGACCTATACCTGGAGAATGATTGGTGTCTAAATAATTGCCTATTAAGTAAGTATAAAAGTAACACACAGTCCCAAATCTGAAATAATTCTCATTGGAAACTGTAACCTTGATTGGCAGGAAAACTGCTTACACGATGTACATTTTTTTCTAGTCTAGCTTTGTATTAGTCAGTGTATTACAAACACTGTATTTGATCCCTGATTTCTAGTTACATCTTCGGGGGGTAGGATGGGGGAGTGTTCAACACTACATAGTTATTTTGAGCACAGTGAACCCTTCCCTGTTCCCCTGGAAAGTACTAGTTCCTTTCAAAAACATAATTTAATTGCTTCATCTCCACCTAATCACATTACAGGTTCTCAAGATTCCTCTTTTTCTTTGTATCTGAGTTCACAACTCAATAAATATGTATGTATATCCTTTCCTGCTGTAAAAACATTCAATTCATTTAGTAACTTCAGTCAAACGTTACTATACTAGCTGTTTCTGAGCAATTTTCTGCTTTCTTCTTTTCTGTTACATCTGTCTAGCTAGATGAATTTCATTTGATCCTTGGTTTTTAGATGTATCTTCTATGTTTTGGCATCCTAGATTTTTTTATTTGATCTCTGATTTCTAGTTACATCTCCGGGTTGTTTTTTTTCAACATTACACAGTTATTTTGAGCACAGCGGTTTGGATTTAAGTTACCTGTTTATCATTTAAGCCCTCTTGGTCTTTGATCTAAAAAATGAAATAATGTTAGTTCTTAGATGAAAGATGTTCAAGAAAAACCCAGGGTGATCCAAGGTTGGTTCTGGCACTTCGCTAGGTGGCACTCTTCTCTCTGAGTTGGCTACGCTTGCAGATGTTGAGCGCTTTGAGTTAAACCAGCCTTTGTAGAGCGCAGTAGGGAAAGGGCTGCAGTCTGTCCACACTGACAGCTTCAAGCGCACTGGCGTGGCCACATTTGCGGCACTTGCAGCAGCATTGGTCGTGGTACATTATGGGCAGCTATCCTAGCATGCAAGTGACTGCAACATGCTTTTCAAATGGGGGTGAGTGGGCTGGAGTGTGACAGGGAGTGTGTTGTGTGTATGTGCGGGGAGAGAGAGTGGGTTTTTGGGGGGCTGAGAGCATGTCAGCATGCTGTCTTGTAAGTTCAGGTAGCAGCAGACCCCCCCCCTCCCCTCCAGCCTCTCTCTCTCTCACACACAGCATTTCACACTAATGATTGCTTTGTCTCGGAACAGATAAGCATGTCGGCTGTCAGAAACAGAGCTTCCAAAGGTCATATCCGCATTCCTACAGTGATTCAAAAACAATGACAAGAGTGGCCACTTGACTTAAGGGGATTATGGGATGTTTCCGGAGTCTGATCAGAGCGCAGTAATGCAACACCTCGTCCACATTGGTGCCGTGGCGCTCCAGCGGGGGCGCAGCAAAGGTTATTCCACTCGCTGAGGTGGAGTACCAGCAGCGCTGTAGCTGCGGAGTCAGAGCGCTCTACGTGCCTTGCCAGTGTGGACAGGTAGTGAGCTAGTGCACCCAGGGCTCCTTTATTGCGCTGTAACTCGCAAGTGTAGCCAAGTCCTAAGGAATGAGCCAATGCACCAGAATGGTGCTATGAGGGGACTGTGAAAAGGAGTGAGTTGACATCATTTTAATGAGAATTAAAACAGAGGTCCTGACAGCTTTTGATCATTAAAGATCCCATGGCACTTATCACAAGCATAGCAGCATCTTGGCCAAATTCCAGTTTGGATAATTATTCTGCCTACTTAAATTTCCTTTGTCATTTCAATTTGAATGACCATCCTTCTTCACTTTCTGGCTGAAACTGCTGTTTAGTGCAATGTGTTCATTAAACAGTTGCCACATTTCACCGGTGGATGAAACAATTCATGTACAGGTACAAATGTTTGTAAAGTTCTCTGGATTCCTGCTGTGTGAAATGCATTACATAAATATAACATTACACTGTTATTTCAACATGCTGCCTTTGCAATTTAATGCAAACACTTTATCCGCTGCATGGGAATTTAGAGGTATTATTGAGCTAAATGATCTAGGAAAACTTAGTAAAAATAAGATCTTCAGAGTTCAAACAAAGCATCCAGTCCTGCAACTGGGGTTCTGCAGGCTGACCCCTGTTCCCACACAAAGCCCCATCGAAGTAAGTGACTCCACAGAATCCATTGCAGGATCAGGCCCTATGGGACACTAATATCCACAGGGATTAGTGTTGTAAAATTAAATGGAAATCAGACAATTTACTGTGGGCTTTGATTCCACACTAAAAAATGTAATGATAGAAACAAATTCCCTGCAATTTAGCTATACATTTCTTTAGAGAGAGACTAATAAAATGTTTTATCTTTGATATTGGTGTGATTAAATCTAGCCAACAGCATAAAAAATAATAGGGCCTGTTATTGCATCTCTTTGTGTGCATAACTCCCAGAGAAGATCTTGTGCAATTCTCCAGATTCTCTATTCAGTACTGTCCTTTGTAGATATTTCAGTATAGATAGTAAAGGTGCAGTTCTCTTTGGCTTGAATTACTAACAAGAGTCTCAAGGAATGGTGTCCCTAGCCTCTGTTTGTCAGAAGGTGGAGATGGATGACAGGAGAGAGATCATTTGATCGTTACCTGTTAGGTTCACTCCCTCTGGGGCACCTGGCATTGGCCACTGTCAGCAGACAGGATACTGGGTTGGATGTACCTTTGGTCTGACCCAGTATGGCCATTCTTATATGTCAAATACAACTTGCCAAACATTCATTTTGGTGGCAATCTAGAAAATGCCATTAATTTTAATATTTGGGGTCTGTAACAGGGCCTCCTTGGTCCTGCTTCTATCTCGGTCAACAAACTACGCAGAGACCTTTGTGCTGGTCCAACACCTTGTGCAGTTTATTTATAAATGAGTCCCACCACCTTCACAACATACATAGCACCTTTAACAAGCAGGGGAGAGCAAGCAATCTCTCTCTCCCTGTCACTGCTTTCCCCCTTTTTACTTTCTTCCTATGCCTATTTGTGAGCTCTGGCTAATGGCTTAATTAGCCTTATCATAGAATCATAGAATAACAGCGTTGGAAGGGACCTCTGGAGGCCATCTAGTCCAACCCCCTGCCTAGAGCAGGACCAATCCCAACTAAATCATCCCAGCCAGGGCTTTGTCAAGCCTGACCTTAAAAACTTCTAAGGAAGAGATTCTACCACCTCCCTAGGTAACGCATTCCAGTGTTTCACCAGCCTCCTAGTGAAAAAGTTTTTCCTAATATCCAATCTAAACCTCCCCCACTGCAACTTGAGACCATTACTCCTTGTCCTGTCATCTGCTATCACTGAGAATAGTCTAGATCCATCCTCTCTGGATCCACCTTTCAGGTAGTTAAAAGCAGCTATCAAATCCCCCCCTCATTCTTCCCTTCCGTAGACTAAACAATCCCAGTTCCCTCGACCTCTCCTCATAACTCATGTGTTCTAGTCCCCTAATCATTTTTGTTGCCCCTCGCCTTTCTACCCTGCCCCACCCACAAATTAGGCACAGCTCTCCTTAGCTCCAACCTGCATTGCCTGATTGGAGCTGCTGTGAACACAGTTCTGACTCATACTTAGCACTCTGTCACAGGGTCAGATTGTGGGAGGGGGAAGGTGGTGATACTCTCCTACTATGGTTTTGGCTACCATGTATAAAACTCAGATATAGAGGCCCAGGCCTTTAGAAGTATTTAGACTCCTAACTTCTAGTGAAATCAATGGGAGTTAGGAGCCTAAATGCCTTTGAGGACTGGACCCATATGATTAAAAACCAGGCCTCAGATATAAATGCAGCCTATGCTTTAAATAGGAATGGATATGAGACAGGCATTCCAGTGAGAGCAGACCAAGGAATGAGTGGTCCATCAGCTGGGAGTGTTTTGGAAGAAGAGCTAGACAGAAAGATGAGGAAAATTTAGCCTTTGGGGCAAATAGCCTAGTGGTTTAAGAGTTCCAGGGTTGACAAAACATAGTGGATTGGGAGGAGGTCCCTCTATACTGCCACCCTGTGAAAGGGTGCAGCAACACCTGCATACTCGAGGAAGAGTAACTGATTAGAGTCGGACTGACAACTGAGCCCAGGAGAAAGGTGGAAGAGGTTAGTCATTCAGAGGAAGGGGCTGTGGCTACTGGAAGAGTCTAGGGTGGAAGACTTAGCTGTGGGTTTATGATGGACTTTGAATTAAATCCTGGAAGAGGTGGACTATTGGCATACTAGGGAGTAAAAAGGTAGTGGTGCTCGTCTGTCTTGTTTCTGCTACAATGTATAAAACTCAAATATATAATGACTGTTTTATCTTTGGGTCTCACCCTTGGATTCTTTCATCTGGAGGGAGTTTCTTGTGGTGATCTCACATGGTGAGTTGGCCCTTTAAGGGGATTAACTGGAGGGTTAAGTCACTGAAGTGACCTAACAGCTCTGAAGAATGAATGGGAAACTGAGGCAGAGTCAGAGTCTGATGCTGGGTTTGGAGAAACCTGGCTACAGGTGACCAATGCACAATGTTTTGTTTTTTTAGTTTAGAATGATATTATTCAGCTGTGTGTGTGTACGCCTACTTATGCTCCTATCCAATCTTGCCTCATACCTGATTAAGCTGCTGCTTGAAATGAGTGGTAAAATTTCCACTCACTTCAATAGGATCAGTATTGGGCCCTTAAAGCTAAGCCATATTTTAAAGGGCTGGAACTTGTAGCTGAGGTCAGATTTTTTTTTCTTTTTTTTTTTTTTTTTTTTTTGGTTTGGGGGAAGCTACTGGGTTTGCTTTTGTTTTCACTAATGTTACTGCATTTTTAATATATAGCAAGATATCTAGAGCTTTGGGTAGGTGCTTTTTAATGCACTGTATAAATCTAAATAGAGGACCTCGTAAAGCATGTTGAGAGGTATACTGAAAGACATATGGTGCCATATAGTCCATGATTCAATTTTAAATCCTTTTGAACTGAGGATTTACATTTTCAACTCCACACTTGTAATTTACAGCTTGTTTTGGTTCCTTCAACCTCATATCTGATGATCTTTTTGTTTGCAGTTTCTGCTGCTCTCCTTGGGGTCTCTTACACATTTTTTAAAGAACAAAATTGTGCTTATTGTGTAGTAACTTATTGTTTTACCCCATCTCATCACTTACAATCCTCTCTACAATTCTGTTGTAATAATTCCATTTACATGATTTTTAGGGCTGTCAAGCAATTAAAAAAATTGTGATTAATTGCACAATTAATTGCACTGTTAAACAATAGGATACCATTTATTTAAATATTTTTTGGATGTTTTCCACATTTTCAAATATATTTATTTCAAGTGCAACATAGAATACAAAGTGTACAGAGCTCACTTCATATTTTATTACAAATATTTGCACTGTAAAAATGATAAAGAAATAGTATTTTTCAATTCACCTCATACAAGTAGTGTAATGCAATCTCTTCATCATGAGTGAAACTTACAAATATAGTGTTACATAAGTGCACTCAAAAACAAAACAATGTAATACTTTAGAGCACGGGTGGGCAAACTTTTTGGCCCAAGGGCCGCATCTGGGTATGGAAATTGTATGGCAGGCCATGAATGCTCATGAAATTGGGCGTTGGGGTGCTGGAGGGGGTGAGGGCTCTGGAGTGGGGCCAGAAATTGAGAGTTCAGGGTGTGGGAAAGGGCTCTGGACTGGGGCAGGGAGTTGGGGTGTGGCAAGGGGGTGAGGGCTCCAGCTAGGGATGCGAGCTCTGGGCTGGGTCTGAGGATGAGGGGTTTGGGGTGCAGGAGGGTGATCTGGGCTGGGACCAAGGGGCTGAGAGGGCAGGACGGGGATCAGGGCTAGGGCAGGGGGTTGGGGCTCAGGAGGGGGTCAGGAGTGCAGGCTCCAGGAGGTGCTTACCTCAAGCAGCTCCCGGAAGCAGCGGCATGTCCTCCCTCTGGCTCCTACACGTAGGGGTAGCCAGGGGGCTCCGCATGCTGCCTTGACTGCAGGCTACTAAATTAATTCTCCTTAAGATATCTGACTGGCTGCACCCACTTGATGACAATTTACTGCATGGATAGATGAAATCATCCAGTACTTCCACAATTTTTCTGGCAGCACAGATGTTTTCTATCAACTTTTGTACCACACTTGGTTTTTGTCCAAGAAATCCTTAGCCCAAAGCAGCAGTCACGTGCTCAAGGTTCTCTAGTGTGTCTTTAAGGTTGTTTGCATCCTGGCCAAAAAGGACAAGATCATCCATATAATCCAGGTCAGTAAAAGAAGTCGAACCAAACAGTTACACCAATATTTGCAGAGACATGTTCAAGGAGCCAATGCCGTGTGTGGCAAAACAGGGCTGGGGCCAGGATACATCCCTTCTTCACCCTGGTTCTAGTGAAAAACATGGTGGACCTATGAGTTCTTGTAGTGAGGCAGAGTGGCCTCTCTGGACCCGAGAGTGAGGGCGCTTTACCTTCCCCTTGGTGAGTGGAGCTAAGTCCTCCCTGCCCCCTCTCAGGAAGTACAGGGAAGGACAGGAATTATAAAGGGAATTTTGAAGCTCAGTTGGTGATGGACCAGGGAAGGAGGCAGATGTTGCTGCTAGGAAGCTGAGCCCTCTGTCTGATCTTGGACCAGTAACTGAGCAGACCAGTCCCTAATGACCAAGGCAGCAGAAGGCCTGGGGAGTGACTGGAGGGGACGCAGCCCAACTGTGAAGCGGGAAGATGGAGCCCAGTGCTGAAGGACCAATGCCAGCAGAGTGGGGTAGGAAGTAGCCCAGGGAAACCAGACATTGCTCCAGTTGTGCTGTAGGGACGCAAGGCAGCGAGTTTGTGTTTCACCGTTTACCCAGTGGTGGGACTGCCCATGGCTATTTGGGCCCAGGGCTGAGACCCAGTGGAGTAAATCAGGCAGCATCCCCCTGCTGCCGCCCCACAGCTGGAGCTGGCTGCTTACTAAGCCCTAAGGCCTGTGCCAGACTGTTACCACTGGTCCAGCCAGGAGGCTGATAGCTACAGACTGCTTTACTTGCTCTGCCCCACCCCAAGGCCCAGGACCCAACTCTGCTAACCGCAATGTAGTGCGGCGGCATGGCTTCCCTCTTGGGTTGCCAACTTTCTAACCCCTGAAAACCAAACACCCCTGCCCAGCCCCGGCCCGACCTGTCCCCTCCTCTGTTGCTAGCTCTCCACCCCCACCCTTGCCACTTGCTTCCTCATCCTCCGCGACTCACCTGACACCTGCAGAGCCAGGCTTGGAGCACAGCGGGGTACAGCAGGAGTGGAGTGGGAGCGCTGGAACAAGGGGCTGGGATACAGTGGGGTTGATCCCTGGAGTGAGGGGCTGCAGTGGAGTAATCAGAACACAGTGAGGTGGGGGGTGCAGACAGGTTACCCCTCACCCCCTCCGGATGGCACTGGTACCTACTTTGGAGCCCAGTCCAGGAGACAGCCAGTTCTCCCCATCAGGCTGGGGGGCCAGAAGAACAGCAGCTGCTAAGCAGAGCTGCTCCTCTGGGCTACAGCAGCTGCTGCTCTTTCCACCCCCTGCTGGCAGAAGCCAGCTACTGCAGATAACCTGACTTCCATCGTCCGGGAAGTTGTGCTGACCGGCTGCTGCCAGTTTCCCATTTCAATCAGATGTTCTAGTTGAAAAACAGACACCTGGCATCCCTACTCCCTCTGAACCTGAGAGGGAGTCCCGTTACAGTTCTCCATTGCACCCAGGCCACTGAGTCATTACGTAGATCTTGGATTAACCTCAGAAAGATGTTATGACCACCAGTGCCTCATAGGGCCTTCCACAGGCAGGGCCGGCTCTAAAATTTTTGCCACCCCAAACAAAAAAAATTTTGGCCATCCCTGCTTTTTTTTGTGCCCGCCCCCACTCCGCCCCTTCCCCAAATCCCTGGCCCCGCCTCCTCCCCCGGGTGTGCCACATTTCCCCCCCCCCCCCATTGTTTCCTGCGGCTCCCCCCAGCAACTCCATGCCCTTGCTCACCTCCGCTCCGCCTGCTCCCCTGAACACGCCACCGCTCTGCTTCTCCCCCCTCCCTCTCAGGCAAGGGAGAGGCAGCGCGTTCAGGGGAATCGGGTGGAGCGGAGGCGAGCGAGGGTGGGTGGGGAATGCAGGAAGTAACGGGGGGGGGGGTAGAGGAACCACTCCCCGCCTCAGCTCACCTCTGCTCCACCGCTGCCGCCGAGCACGCTGCCGCTCGGCTTCTCCCTCCCAGGCTTGCAGTGTGAAACAGCTGTTTGGCACGCGGCAAGCCTGGGAGGGAGGGAGGAAGCGGGGAGAAGCGGAAGGGCAGTCGCGCGCTCAGGGGAGCAGGCGGAGGTGGAGCGGAGGCGAGCTGGGGCGGCTGGGGCACATTTCTAGGGATGTCATGGCCGGTGCCGGAATGCCGCCCCTAGAAATGTGCCGCCACAACCACCTGCTTGTTCTGCTGGTATCTAGAGCCAGCCCTGTCCACAGGGCAGCTCTACTGACAGAATCAAAGGCTGCCTTCAAGTCTACGTATGCTGCTGTCAAAGGGCAATTGAATTATCTGATAGATCTCAGGTAAAAAAATGAAGAGTAAGTATAGCATCCATGGCAGATCACCCAGCAGTGAAGCCCGATTTTTCTGGATGGTTTTTCACAAGGAGATGCTGGAGCTGGGCAAGTAGGTCGTGTTTAAAAACTCTTCCAAGAACAGAAAACAGAATTATTGCCCTTTAGCTGCTGCTCTCAGTGCGTGGAACTTTCCCTTTATAAAGCGGGATGATGATCCCTTCCTTTCACTCTGCTGGTGCCTTCCCAGTAGTCCAAGCCAGACAAAAAGTTGGTGTAATGTTTGCATTATGGTCTCTATGGAGCACCTGAGAAGTTCAGGTTTTATATAGTTGGGTCCAGCAGCATGCCCACTTCAGTTTCTTTATGGCAGAGCAGATCTTTTCCATATCTACGCAGGTTTCAGGGTCACGGATTGCATCTACTGCAAACATGGGCACGGGTCACTTCAGGTTGGCTAAGTGCAGTCTGGTAATATTTTTTTCCCTCTTTGCAATGTTTTTTCTTGGGTAGAGCATGTTTTACCACGCTGTACACTTTACTAAAAATCTCATCTGGATCCTTACCTTCTCCTCTCTGGCCTTCCTAACACACGTGCCCCATTCATATCCATTCAAACACGACTGCTAAGATCACATTGTTGGCCCTTGGTTTGACCATATCACTCATTTTTGAGTCTCTCTACTATCTCCTCTTCCTCCACCACATCAAGCACAAACTTCTGGTCCTTACCTGTAAGGCCCTCCACAACCTACTCCCTCCAAACTTATCTGCTCTTATATTTTACTATGTCATGTCTCACCGCCTTCCCCCCTACCCCTGCCAGTGATGTTAGCCTCCATAACGAGCTTGTTCATTCCTTCCACAAGTACTTTTGTATCTTCATCATTGCTGACCCTTATGCATGGAACCCACAAAGAATATTTACCCCCTTCAGGTAATCCTGGCAATTATAGGCCAGTAAGCCTAACTTCAGTACCTGGCAAACTGGTCAAAACTATAGTAAAGACCAGAATTATCAGACATACAGATGAACAGGATTTGTTGGGGAAGAGTCAACATGGTTATTGTAAAGGGAAATCACACCTTAGCAGTCTACTAGAATTCCTTGAGAGGGTCAACAAGCATGTGGACAAGGGTGATCCAGTGGATATAGTGTACTTTGATTTTCAGAGAACCTCTGACAAGGTCCCTCACCAAAGGCTCTTAAGCAAAGTAAGCTGTCATGGGATAAGAGGGCAAGGTCCTCTTACGGATTGGTAACTGGTTAAAAGATAGGAAACAAAGAGTAGAAATAAATGGTAAGTTTTCAGAATGGAGAAAGGTAAATAGTGGTGTCCCCCAGGAGCTGTACTGGGACCAGTCCTATTCAACTTATTCATAAATGATCTGGAAAAAGGGGTAAACAGTGAGGTGGCAAAATTTGCAGAGGATACAAAACTACTCAAGATAGCTAAGTCCTAAGCAGACTGCGAAGAGTTACAAAGGGATCTCACAAAACTGGGTGACTGGGCAACAAAAGGGCAGATGAAATTCAATGTTGATAAATGCAAAGCAATGCACATTGGAAAACATAATCTCAACTATACATATAAAATGATGTGGTCTAAATTAGTCATTACCACTCAAGAAAGAGATCTTGGAGTCATTGTGGATATTTCTCTGAAAACATCCACTCAATGTGCAGCGGCAGTCAAAAAAGTGAAAGGAATGTTGGGAATCATTAAGAAAGGAACAGATAATAAGACAGAAAATATCATATTAACTCTATATAAATCCATGATACGCCCACATCTTGAATACTACATGCAGATGTGGTTGCCCCATCTCAAAAAAGATATGTTGGAATTGGAAAAGGTACAGAAAAGAGCAACAAAAATGATTAGGCATATGGAACAACTTTTGTATGAGAATAAATGAATAAAACTGACTTTTCAGTTTGGAAAAGAGACAACTAAGGGGGGATATGATAGAGGCCTATAAAATCATGACTGGAGTGGAGAAAGTAAATAAGGAAGTGTTATTTATGCCTTCTCATAACACAAGAACTAGGGGTCACCAATTGAAATTAATATGCAGCAGGTTTAAAACAAATAAAAGGAAGTACTTGTTCACACAAAACATAGTCAACCTGTGGAACGCTTTTCCAGAGGATGTTGTGAAGGCCAAAACTACAACAGGGTTCAAAAATGAACTAGATAAATTCATGGAGGATAGCTATTGGTGAACCTATTAGCTAGGATGGGTAGGGATGGTGTTCCTAGCCTCTGTTTGTCAGAAGCTGGGAATGGGCGACAGTGGATGGATCACTTGATGATTACCTGTTCTGTTCATTGTGTGGCATCATATTGACATCAATATGGTTCATCATGAGCCTTTAGATAACCTGCACAGATCTCTACCTCTAGAACTAAAGGAGTAAATGATAGTAATAGTAGGTTGTGATCCTCTATGTGGACTAGCATTAGAGAGGGATGAAACACACACTTCGCAGCGGATTTTTCACAGATATTTGGTGTCAGCAGAAGAATTTTGGGACTTAGGAATCTTTGGTTCCATTCCAGGTTCTGTAAGGAAATGTGCTCTAGTGGTCACAGACACTTTTGCCTGATACACCAAAGATTGACCCTTTCTCCCCATCCCTCCAAGCTGTCCCAGTCCTGTCTCTCCCTCACCCCTGGCTCCTCGTACCTATCCCATCCTTCCTGCCTACCCAGTCCTAGTCTCTACTCTCCAGGCTCCTCATTTTAGTCCGAATCACCTTGCCCAGCGAGTCCTAGTCTCTCCCGCTCCAGACTCCCCACCTAAGGCCCAGTGTCTCTCCCCACTCCCACTTTCTTAGTGCAGCTAGTCCCAGTTGCCCCCTCCGTTGACCCCTTGTCCCCAGTATCCTTGCCCAGCCAGCCCCAGTTTCCCACCTCCCAGCTCTTCATCCGGTTTCTCTGTATGCCCCCAACCCATCATCTCCATTTTCCTGATAATTCCCCCAACCTCCTTGGCTCCTTGCTCTACTCTCCCTTCTCTCCGGCTTCTTGTTCCAGTCTCTTTGCTGAGCTAGCCTCAGTTGTCTCCTCATACCCCAACTCCTTGTGAGATTTGTCTCTCCTCCCACTGCTCCCAGACTCAGTTTTTCCTCTTTCCCCAGTTCCTCAACTGATCTCAATGTTCCCTTCCTCCTGCCAACTGTCTTTCAGTCACCTGCATTTTCCTCACCAGCTCCCAGTATTCTTGACAAATCATTTCAAGCCTCCTCTGCCCTACCCCCCTGACTTCCAATTTCCATCTCCTTGCCCAATCATTCACAGCCTCCTCTTCCGCACTTTGGCTCCCAGTCCTGTTCTCCATGTCCAACCAGTCCCAGTCCAAACAGGTTCCTTGTCCCAATCTTCTCCTGTTTCATTCCCTGGTCTGGTTCTTGTCCCCTCTGCATTTGAGGCAGATGGTTTCTTTCTCCATGCTTCCTTGGTGCCAGCTGGGGTGTTAATGAGAGCACAGGAGAGTCAGGCTCTCTACACTCAGCTCCAGTGCCTGGTGCCACCCTGGTCCAGAGCAGCCAGAGACTGCCATTTCTAGGAAATTCCCACTTGGCTTCTCAACCCAAGGCTGCAACATGCTCAGTCACTCTGAGGATGGTGCATGTGCATTCTGCTCTATGCTAGGAGCTGTGAGGGGCTGGAGCATAGTCAGTCGCTCTGTACGAAGGGTGCATGCACAGTCCAGTCAGGGGTACTGGAATGGGGGCAGGGGGCCATGGCTCCATCAATTTTTACCCGCCATAAGGGTGAGCAACGGGGTGGGGAGGGGCAAAGAGGAGCGAGTGGGAGGCAGGGTCTTGGGGGGGGGGAAGAGGTGGCGCAGGAGTGGGTCCTTGGGGAAGAGGCGGTGCAGCGGCCGGGCCTTGGAGAACGGGGTGGCACAAGGGTGGGGTCTTAGGGAGAATGGGTGGCATGAGGGCAGGGCCATGGGAGGAATGGGTGGCACGAGGGCAGAGGCTCAGGGAGAAGGGGTGGCACGGGGGCGGGGCCTCGGGGGGAAGGGGCGCTGCGGCGGGGAGGGCACCAGTGGCCCCCCACTTTTAGGGAACTTCTGCCGCTCTTGAGAGCCCAGTTACGGGCGGGAGCTTTGAGAGGATGGAGCATGCTCAGTCACGCCGAGGATGATGCATGCTCAGTCTGGTTAGCACTAGGAGCTATGGCACTACGGCTCACTTAACAAGGATGAAATCTTCAGGAATTTTAGCACTACTTTCGAAGAAGTCTCTACAGATTTTTCCTTGGCTTATAACTTGGCCACATTTTGGTGGATTTTCTCAGGGACTGCACAAGGTACATCCCAGATGCAAAGGCCACCCCTGACTTCCAGCCCCTCACCAAACCTCAAGTCCCTGCTCCCACAAGCGCCGGCTTTCTCCTTGTGCCAGGGGTGCTCGACCTCCACTCCGTCCGAGGCCTCACCCCCACCCACTTCCCCGCCCTGCCTCTTCCCATCTCTGCTCCTCCCCATCCCTGTTTTTTTTCTGTGGGTGCTCTAACCCTGGAGTACCCACGGAGTTGGTGCCTATGCCTTCTCCAATGCATAGGGGTGCTAGGGCTGTTCAAAGGAAAGGTTGCCAGAATTTGTTTTAACATGGCAAAATGTATTTTTCTCTATCCTTGTTGTAAATGGCTCAACTATTGTGGTGGAAACTTTCCTAAAAAATTCAGCTTGAGGAGACACCTGGCATGGAAAATTTCAGTCCAAATAGTTCAGGTATGGAAAAGTAATAAGCAACTGAAAAAAGGTGCTTATAATGGGAAGTATAGCTCAACATTAATAATAGGCAATGCTACCAGCCCTCTCCCCCGCATAATAATGTTTGTGAAATCCTAGCTTGACAAGGATCTATTTTATTATAGAGTGGCAGTGTTCTCCCTCTTTCAAGAGCACTAGATGGACAAAAATATATATAATGGGCCATATCCTGGCACTTAGCCCCATCCTCTTTGCATTGCTCCTCCTTACCAGTGGTGGATTAGCCACTGGGCCAACAGGGCCCATGCCCAGGGGCCCAGCCAATTGGGGCACCCTCATGCCCTGACCCACTCCGGTGCTCCTGCCAGGGAGTGGGGTTGAGGTGCAGGGGCTTTCTCCACTCCACTCTTGCTCCAGCCCCTGCACCCTGACCCCATTTCTCTAGCAGGAGCGCTGGGGGGCGAGGGGGGGAGGAAGTACAGGTGGAAAGGGTGAGGAGGGGCCCCCACTTGCTCTGGCCCAGGGCCCCACAAACCCCTAATCCGCCTCTGCTCCATACCTATACTTCAACTGCCTACAGACTTAAATCTGCTGCTCTTTCTTCCTCTTACCACATCCAACACATGGATAAGGTTTCTTTTTTTGTCACTAAGCTGGTACAGTACAAATGACAAACACTTTATGTATTGATTGAATTCCTTTTTGTATGGGGAAGCTCCATCACGAATCTTTTTTATTAAACAAATAATTTTCTGAAAATATGAAAAGATTCCAGTCCTTCCACTATCAAACCTAATATTTTCAACCTCCCACTAACATCTATAGATTTTATTCCTAATATTTTTATTTCCAGAACAACTGGACACATCTACTAGTAAATGACCTCACAGATTCCTTTCATCTGTGAGTCTTCAAACAGATGCTATAGGCTAATAAGAATCTCAGCAACTCAGTATACCTTTGACTCCCCAGTATTTCCTCACCTGACTCTCTTTATCTCAGGGATTCTACTGAGGTGAAAATAACCTTTCTCCATTTTACTGACTTTTTGGAGAAACACCTTCTGATTGTCCTTGAGTAAATCCAGGATAATAGGATTGTAATCATCATTCTCTCCATATCAGAGACTCTCACCTTGAAGCTGTGGATCTAATCCAGCAGTCTCCATTTTATTATGTTACTGATGGTAACCATAGTAAAGAATTAACTTACTTTGAATGAGTTCATACTCTTCAGCTCTCTTCCTGAGCATAGGTACAGAGGTCATTCGCAGAATTGGGGCCTTAACAGCTGCACAGTTAGTGCAGATGGGGCTTTTTTCCCTGCTATGTGCTGGAAACAGCAAAGGTCTCATAAGACATTCTATCCTTTGAAATGGAGAGGTCTGCACTCGTGTGTCTGAGGGTACTTGAGCAGCCTTGGGAGATCTGTACTTCCCTGCATATGGTGCTGGCTCTCCCAATCAATAAGTCTGGTAGTAAAAGTTAGTTACATGCTGTTTTTGTAGTCTTAGCTTTTTAAATGTATTGATTTAATTATTAGCATTTCCCCCCCCCCCATGCTAATGGATTTTTAAAGGGAAAATTTCAGCCTCCCCAAAATGGAAAGAGAATTATCCCCTCTGTTGTGACCTAGAATATGAAATATAACCATCCTTTTACATGTGTATGATATAAGCTATGTTAAAGTTCCCAATGTTAACATGTTTAGTTATATGTAGGTTTTATGTTAGTGATCGGATCCTTAACTGTTGTATATCTGAGTAAAATACAACTCTTGCAGCTCCCAAGTGCTTATCTGTCAGGAGTAATTGCAGAGTGATAATTATTTCTGGACTGGGGACTGCAGTAACTAGCTAATGCTCAAATGGGTTAATTGCAGCATATTTCAGTGGCAGTTTATTGAGTATTTAGGGTTTGCTCCCATTCTCTAACATGCAATCAGAAAAGATTATTAAGTAATGGGAATACGTGTCTGTCTGCACCAACCTGCTTCTTTATAGCAGAACAGCTTGCCACTCCCCTAACTCAGGGGGGCAAGCAGAGGAAAATTTAGCCTAGTGAAAGTTATTGCAGCCTCACGGGTCTGGGAGGGGATGGACTGTGGGCCAAATATCTTGCTCAGGGCTGCAACGACAAAATTAAAGATGACAAATTTTTTACAATATTGCTAATCCCAAAATACAAAAAACATGCTCCAAAAAAGCACAAGACTAACTTAAAAATCATAGGATTTAGAAAAAAATAATATTTTTTTGTTTGACTTCTGGTTTCTGAGCCTTAAACATAATTTTAAAAATGTAAACAGATGTGCACTGGTCATTAAGGTAGAAAGCTTGTCACTGCTTTCAGGGGTGGCAGATTTATATAATTTTTAGTGGTGCCCAGAATGGGTCCAAGTCCTCCCCCCAGTCTCTGGGAGGGAGTTTGGGTGTGGGAGGGGTCAGGTTCTGGGACGCAGTTTGGGTGCAGGGTCTAGGCTGGGGGTTGGGGTGCGGGAGGAGGTGCCAGGGTCGGGCTCTGGGAGGGAGTTAGGGTGTTGAGTCTGAGCTGGGCAGGAGGTTGGGGTGTGGGAAAGGGTGAGGGGTGCAGTGCTTACCTTGGGTGGCTCCCGGAAGTGACCTGCACCCCCCTCTGGCAGCAGCTCCTAGGTGGGGAGCCGGAGGGGTCTCCACATGCCGCTGCCTGCAGGTACCATCCCCGCAGCTCCCATTGGGCACAGCTCAGGACGGAGGCAGCGTGTGGAGACACCCCCCCCCGCGGGACATGCCGGTTGCTTCCAGAAATGGAGCGGGTGGGCAGGAAGCTGCCTTAGCCCTGTTGCACTGCCGGTGGTAGTGGCGGCCCTCCCGGGCCCTTTTAAATTGTCTAGGGGCAGCAGGCAGGGCTGGGGGGGAACTTTCTGGGGGAGGCACGTGGGGGTGGCAGGCGGGGCCGGAGGAGAGACCCAGCCCCTAATTTTGGTGGAGCTGGGTCCCCGTGCTCTCATATTGGTGAAGCACGGGCACCACGGGCCTACACAACTCGCCACCCAGACTGCTTTTTCCTAAAGGGGTTCCTGCTTTTTCCACATGTTCACAACTTCCTTAGAGCCACCCACAACTGGGCTTTGAGTGCTCTAGAAAAACCATAGGCATTGATTTCAGAAGACTGAGATGAGCTTAGTGTTGCCAGCTTTCACAAATTTACTGTGAGTCTTGCAATAATTGGGGTTCTTAAAGCTCCAGTTTCTGGAGTCAAGTGGTTATGTGAGAATTTTTTTAAGTTTCTAGCCTTTACAATTGAGACCCAAACATGACAAAATATGACTCAAATGACCCATCAAGGCTCCGAAACCAGAAGGCAAAGAAAAAACAAACAAACAAAAAAATTATTTTTTCCTAAATTGTTGATTTTGTCCAGGAACAATGTCAGTCTAACTGATTCCCCGTTACCCAAGTTATCTCATTTATCCTCTTAAAATATTGAAACACTATTAGCTTTCTTCCCAGTCCTTACTCAGTATTCCACATTTGTTAAATATCAAGCTCAAAGGGCCCAATATTTCTCAAGTTGGGCACTGAAACATTGAGGCACTCAAAATAAATGCAAAAAGAAAAGGAGGACTTGTGGCACCTTAGAGATGAACAAATTTGTTTGAGCATAAGCTACAGATGAAGTGAGCTGTAGCTCACGAAAGCTTATGCTCAAATAAATTTGTTCATCTCTAAGGTGCCACAAGTCCTCCGTTTCTTTTTGCAGATACAGATTAACACAGCTGCTACTCTGAAACCTCTCAGAATAAATGGTTACTTTTGAAAATATTGACCTAACATCTCAATTATAGGTCCTAGACTAACAGCTGTGTTGGAGAAAGAAGCAGTTACCAAATGCTCAATTTTTAATGGTATGTTCTCATAACTACAGGCTTCTTACATGGACCTACATATTCACATTGTGCTCTCCTATATCATGGGTCATTTAGCCTATCTCATAGTCAATTACCAAGTGGTACAGTCCATAACATCATAATTTTGTACTTTAATATTTGTAGACACTGGGCTACCTTTGCAGCTGTTATAGATTGGCATAGCTCCGTTGAAGTTAATGTATCTAGCAGGGCCAGATTTACACCTTACGTGCCCCTAGGCACAGCTAGCTGTTTGCTGCAGACCGTTAGCTCAGCTCAGGCTGTTCTGGCACCGCAGCGGCCCCTCGTGGGCAAAAGGCAGAACTGTAGCAAATTTTTTGCAGGAAAAAATCTGCTTCCCTCCCTCAAGAATTCTGTGCATGCTGCAAACGTCACTTAAGAGGAGGGGGCACAACGTGAGACTAGTTTCAGACTAACAGCCGTGTTAGTCTGTATCCGCAAAAAGAAAAGGAGTACTTGTGGCACCTTAGAGACTAATAAATGTATTTGAGCATAAGCTTTCGTGAGCTACAGCTCACTTCATCGGATGAGACTAGAGGCTTGTGAGGCGTCTAGGTAGGGGGTGGGACAGATCAGGAGGCTCTCTTCCTCTGGAGAACTAATCACTGCCACCAGCAGCAGCAAAATAGCCCCAAATACTGTAACAGGCAACTGCTAATACCCCCGGCAGCTGGCAGCTAAAAATAGCCCAATTGGGCTAGAAAATTGCATGCTTAGCAACTTGTTCTCCTAGAACACCAGCAACCCTATGTGCCTACTGTGTCTAATTGGAAATGTGCTGCTGGTACATAGGCATATTTTGCCATGTGAGGATCGGAAGATCTGGACTAATGTTTTTTAAAGGTTTCTGTCATTTTTGTTTGCATTATACATTTTAGCTCACCCCGTAGGAAATTTGTTGGTTATAGTACTGCCATGACAGTTAAGTATGAAATAAACTTCTCTACTGTATAACCTTTGCCAAATTTGAAAACATTTTAAAAACAACTGAAACTATCAAAATTCACTGATTGTATTCTGCCCATCTATGGTGATATTCCAAAGAAGAATTTTAGTGATAGCACCAAGGAATTTGTTGGCAAAGTGCACTTATACTCAAATGAATGTCTATAAATGGGTTTCCATTCTCTTCAGGACAGAGACTGAGCAACTAGCATGATAGGGCCTTTATCCTAAGGACTTTGATCACACAATCACATAACTGCTCTGGAGTGACACACAGTACCATATCCCACCACCTGAGGACTCAAGACACTTGGGACTTGCCTTCACTAGGAAAAAAGGTGTATTCTTAAACTGAGTTAGCAAACTTGAAATAAAATCCTAGAAAAGACAAGGCAATTTGTAGTTTTCACATGTTTTAGCAGGATGAGTTCAGTGCTTGCTTATGATACGTGTGAAAACTACAAGCTACCCTATCTTCACTAGGCTTTTACCTCCAGTCAGGTAAGTCAAGTTAAAGACACATTTTTTTCCCTAGTGAAGATAAACCCATGGACATGAGTGGACTGAGCAAGAAGGTTAACAAATGATGCTGTTGATTTATTCTAGAATGGATTCTTCTTCAAGTGCTGTCCCTATAGGTGCTCCACTCTAGGGGTATGTCTACACTATGAAATTAGGTCAAATTTATAGAAGTCATTTTTTTAGAAATCGGTTTTATATATTCGAGTGTGTGTGTCCCCACAGAAAATGCTCTAAGTGCATTAAGTGCATTAACTCGGCGGAGTGCTTCCACAGTACCGAGGCTAGAGTCGACTTCCGGAGCGTTGCACTGTGGGTAGCTATCCCACAGTTCCCGCAGTCTCCACTGCCCATTGGAATTCTGGGTTGAGATCCCAATCCCTGATGGGGCTAAAACATTGTCGCGGGTGGTTCTGGGTACATATCGTCAGGCCCCCGTTCCCTCCCTCCCTCCGTGAAAGCAAGGGCAGACAATCGTTTCGCGCCTTTTTTCCTGAGTTACTTGTGCAGACGCCATACCACGGCAAGCATGGAGCCCGCTCAGGTAACCGTCTCCGTATGTCTCCTGGGTGCTGGCAGACGTGGTACTGCATTGCTACACAGCAGCAGCAACCCATTGCCTTGTGGCAGCAGACGGTGCAATAGGACTGATAGCAGTCATCGTCATGTCCGAGGTGCTCCTAGTCGCCTGTGTGAGGTCGATCAGGAGCACCTGGGCAGACATGGGCACAGGGACTAAATTTGGAGTGACTTGATCAAGTCATTCTCTTTAGTCCTGCAGTCAGTCCTATTGAACCATCTTATGGTGAGCAGGCAGGTGATACAGATTGCTAGCAGTCCTATTGCATCATCTTCTGCTGGGCAGGCAAGAGATGAGGATGGCTAGCAGTCCTATTGTACCATCTTCTGCCGAGCAGCCATGAGATGTGGATGGCATGCAGTCCTTCTGCACCGTCTGCTGCCAGTCAAAGATGTAAAAGATAGATGGAGTGTATCAAAACAAGAAATAGACCAGATCTGTTTTGTACTCATTTGCAACCCCCCCCCTTTGCCCCCCGTCTAGGGGACTCATTCCTCTAGGTCACACTGCAGTCACTCACAGAGAAGGTGCAGCGAGGTAAATCTAGCCATGTATCAACCAGAAGCCAGACCAACCTGTTTGTTCCAATAAGAACAATTACTTAGGTGCACCATTTCTTATTGGAACCCTCCGTGAAGTCCTGCCTGAAATACTCCTTGATGTAAAGCCACCCCCTTTGTTGATTTTAGCTCCCTGTAAGCCAACCCTGTAAGCCGTGTCGTCAGTCGCCCCTCCCTGCATCAGAGCAACAGCAAACAATCGTGCATCTGAGTTGAGAGTGCTATCCAGAGCAGTCACAATGGAGCACTCTGGGATAGCTCCCAGAAGCCAATACCGTCGAATTGTGTCCACAGTACCCCAAATTCGACCTGGCAAGGCCGATTTAAGCGCTAATCCACTTGTCGGGTGGAGTAAGGAAATCGATTTTAAGAGCCCTTTAAGTCGAAATAAAGGGCTTCATCGTGTGGACAGGTGCAGGTTTACATCGATTTAAAGCTGCTAAATTCGACCTAAAGTCCTAGTGTAGACCAGGGCTAGGTGATGGTGCATCCCGGCGCCGTTGATCAGAGATCTTCGCTAACAGTGACTGGTCGGGACGCAAGCATCTCCCATCTTCTTGGAATCTTCCTGAGTGTGTGCGTCGTGCACCCTCCTCAGTTCCTTCACAACTGTCCTCGGCTGAAGACGGGACTTGGGGCAGTGCTGATCCTCTTCCCTGGTTTCTGAAGGGAACAATTAGGAAGAACATTGAAATAGTTAGTTAGTAACATCCCAGTTGTTTCCTTTTCTTTAGGATAGTTACTTAGTTTAAAAAAACAACAACTTTTTTCTTCAAGTTTGTCTTCCTCTGAGACACTCTCCCCTGGCATTATTAGTGGAATAATGCCAGGGGCTTCAGGATTCAAGAAATGCACTTCCAGTCAGAATTTTATGCCAAGGTCCAATGGACACTCATGTTGTGTGAAGTGCCTCAGCGAGACACACGTCCCTGCCAAGTGTGTCCACTGCACGAGCCTCACAACCAGGGCTCGTCGTGACAGGGACCTGCGGCTGAAAATGCTTCTCATGCAGAAATCCCTGCAGCTGCCTCTGGAGACGGGCAATGGCAAACCCTCTCTCTCACGCTCCCCGGCCAGGTCCGAACGGACTGGGAGCCCGGCTTCACCCTCTCTGGAGCAGAGGCAAGAAGCTCTGCAGCTGCCTACGGAGCAGGGCAATAAACCCTCTCCCTCAGGCTCCCCTGCCAGGTCAGAACCCACCGGGAGCCCGGCTTCATCCTCTCAGGTGAAGAGGCAAGAAGCCCTAACGTCTCCTCTCAGAGACACTCAAGAGGGTAAAGGATCTCCCGCAGGGTCTTTACCCTTGGGGCTGTCAGCGCTGAGAGCAGGCAACTCTGACCGCCCCTGCACTTCACAAGCAACTCACACAGGGCTCAAAAGCAGGGACCCGACTTCCCGCAGCGGGAAGCTCTCCTCGGCACCGGTTCTCTCCGCACTGACAATTGACCCAGTGCCGACAAGCATGTCGGCAGCGAGCCTGCCTGCCAGCCCCGGAGCAGACTCAGACCCCCTGCGGGGCTCTGACAAACGGCTCTCCGCTCCTGCAACAGTGAAACTAAAATCACTCCAGGCTCCAGCTCACGCTTCATGCTCTGCAGCACACCAGCCTAGGGAACAGCAACAATTCCTGCATCAGCAGGATATCTCTGTGGCCCCTAAGCCTGACTCCGCTCCTAGACATGGAGCACTCACTGTTTGAACAGCAGCTCTCACCACCTTACCTGGATACTTTCACTGATCGTGAGAACGGCACACAGCAGCAGGCAGAGTTTTCCCTGCCTGAGTCTTCCCCTCTACTGGAGCCATACATACCCCAAGACATGGGGCATCATAACAATCAGCCTCAGTTTCCCTACTTTGTGCCCCATGGCCGGGACCCAACTTTTTCCTACCCGGTGCCCTGGCCTCAGTGGTACCCATGGTTGGCTCCTGCCACCACTCCTCCTTGCGCCCCTTCTACCAGACCGCAAGCTCGTACTACGCCTATATCCCCAGCTCTATCAACATCTAGAGCTCCTGAACCCCCTCCTGAAGACATGGGATATGAACCCTTCCTGGTTTTACCGGCTCCTGCCTCACCATCAGCCGCAGAAGTCGCCCTCATGCCTCCACCTCCACAAAACGTGAACGACTTTAAGCAATTCCAGGAACTTTTTAAGAGAACAGCACTCAGCCAGGACATCCCTTTGGAGGAAGTCCAGGAGACAGAACATAGTCTTCTCAAAATCCTCCAACCCTCTGCACCTTCGAAGATAGCACTACCCATAAAGGAAGCTCTCCTAGAACCAGCTGGTTCTCTCTGGCAGACCCCGCCTCCATTCCACCAACATGCAAGAAAGCTGAACATAAATATGACATGACCGCAAGGGACATCAATTTCTTATTTTCCCACCCACAACTCAATTCTATTGTGGTGGATGCAGCGACGCAGAGAACAAAGCAGCCACACTACCGGCCCACTCCGCAGGTCAAGGACTCAAACGCCTTGACCTCCTGGACTGCAAGGTTTATACCTCTTCTACTCTACAATTTAGAATTACAAATTATTCCGCCCTCCTTGCAAGCTATGACCATGACAACTACAACAAGCTCTTTGATTTGCCTCCCATATACCGGACAGGAGAGCGGACTTCAAGTTAGTCCTCGTCGAAGGTCAATTGGTGTCTAGGACGGCACTACAAGTGTCCATGGACATGGCTGATGCAGCAGTCCGCACCACTGCCGTGGTGATGTGCCGCTCTTCCTGGCTCTCGGCATCCGGTATCCCCAAAGATTTGCAGTCCAAAGTGGAGGATCTCCCCTTTGACAAAGATAAACTCTTTTCAAAAAACAAACAAACAAACAAAAAAATGATGAAGTCCTTCACACTATGAAAGACTCTAGAGCCACTTTGCGCACACTGGGCCTATACCTATTCATCCCCAGGAGACCACGGTATCAACCTTATCAGAGTCCCAGCGCACAACAATATCACCGACACCAGTCCAGACTGTATGACTCTGGGGAAAACCGCAACAGACCTCCTAGGCACAGGCAAAACCAATTACTTCCCACCATCGGGTAACAAATAATTTTGAAGTGCTGGTCAGGGGTCTGTGCGACCACCCCTTGACTCCGCCGCCTATTTGCCCATTTGGCTACCGCCTCCAAGCTTTCCACCATGTCTGGCAACTGATCACACAGGACTGCTGGGTCCTGGAAATAGCTCAATTAGGTTACTCCATCCCTTTCCTATCTTCCCCGCCCACCCTTTCCTCTTCCCCTTCGGGACCCCTCTCATGAGCACCTTCTCTACGTGGAGGTGGCTCATCTTCTCCACCTAAGTGCAGTCGAACATGTACCACTGCAACATCGGGGAAAAGGATTCTACTCCCACTACTTTCTAACCCAAAAGAAAGGCGGGGGCTGGAGATCTATATTGGACCTATGCAGACTGAACAAGTTGGTACATGTACAAAAATTTAAGATGGTCACATTGGACACAATAATACCCATGCTGGAACAAGGGCACTGGTTCACAGACCTCGTCCTACAAGACGCCTATTTCCATATATCCATTCATCCAACCCAGCAGACATAGTTTCTGCATAACACTGATTCCATCACCGAACGCATTGGCCTCCCTACATTGGTGGACAAAACCAGAGAACCTATGCATGGGTGTTCCCCTCCATCCACACTCCCCAGGACTCATGCTTAGCACGGATGCTTCCCAGATAGATTGCGGCGCGCACTTAGGCGACCACAAGGCTTGGGGCTGCTGGTCCCTATCAGAGACACGTCTGCACATCAATCTCCTAGAACTCAGAGCTGTCAGGCAGGGAGGCACAATATCACTCCCTATGCACAGCAGCCATTAAACTATGGAATTGGTGCATACAACACCACATAAAAGTCACCGCTTCCTACCTGCCCGCGTGTCACAACACTACCACAGACACACTCAGCAGACACTTCTCGGAGGAACACGAATGGGAATTACATCCCACGTTACTCTGACAGCTCTCCTCCCACTGGGGCATTCTGTTGATAGACCTGTTTGCCACTTCTCAAAACTGCAAATGCCATCTATTTTACTCCAGAACGGGACTCAGAAATGCATCTCTAGGGGATGCATTCCTCATTCCTTGAAACAACTCCCTCATGTACGCTTTTTCACTGATTCCACTCATACACAGGGTTCTACACAACATCACAGAGGACAAGGCCCAGGTCATACTTATTGCCCCAGCTTGGCCCAAGCAGACATGTTATCCTTACCTGCTACGCATGTCCATCCGTCCTCCCCGGACTCTCCCCAACAGACCAGATCTCCTCTCCCAGAACTCCGGTCGGCTTCTTCATCTGCAGCTCTGGAAACTTCATCTGACGGCGTCGTTCCTTCGTGGTTTCAATCCCACGAATTAGCCTGCTTGGAACAGGTCCAGCATGTTCTCCTGCACAGTAGAAGCGACTCCACTCCTAAGACTTACCCGCAAAAGTGAAAACGCTTCTCCATCTGGTGCTTCCACAGAAGCCTAATATCCCAGACTGCAACCCTCCCTGACATCTTAGACTATCTTTTTGAACTAAACAGGATGGGCTTTCGCTCAGTTCTATCAGAGTACACCTCACAGCCCTTACCACCTTCCATGACATTCTGGACGGCTATTCACTTTCACCCACCCCACCATGAAACGCTTCCTCACAGGCCTGCAGAATCTCTACCCTGAGATTCATTCACCAGTAGCCTCCTGGAGTCTCAACCTAGTTCTCTGCGCTGTTATGAAACCCCCTTTCAAGCCCCTGGCCACCTCATCCCTGCTCCACATGTCCATGAAAGTGGCTTTCTTGGTTGTCATAACGTGAACGAGAAGGGTTGGTGAAATAAGTGCCCTGATGGCCTACCCTCCCTACACCATTTTCTCTAAACACAAGCTTACTATACGAACCCGCTCCAAATTCCTCCCCAAGGTGGCATCTACCTTCCACCTTAACCAGTCAATACATTTACCTGTATTCCATCCCAAGCCTCACACGACTCCACAGGAAGCTGCATTACATACCTTCAACGTCCGACAGGCTCTTGCATTCTATCTTGACAGAACTAAACCATTTTGTGAATCCCCTAGGCTATTTGTTTCTACAACCGAGAGATCAAAGGGTGATGCTATCTCTAAGCAAAGACTCTCCAAGTGGATCTCAGTCTGCATCAGATCCTGCTATCAGAGTCAGAATGTTCAACCACCAGAGGGTGTTAGGACTCATTTTACTAGAGCAATGTCAACATCCATTGCCTTCCTCCAAAACGGACCTGTTACAGACATATGCAAGGTGGCCACGTGGACAACTACACATTTGCCACACATTTGCCAAACATTGTGCTATCACACAGGATACCATAGCAGACACCATAGTTGGTCATACGGTACTGTCTACCGTTGTCCCTCATACAACTCCAAAATCCCACCAACCATAGTGGGTACTGCTTCACATTCACCTACAGTGGAGCACCCACAGGGACAGCACTCAAAGAAGAAGAGAAAGTTACTCACCTTGCAATAACTGAGGTTCTTAGAGATGTGTCCCCCTGTGGGTGCTCCACTCCCCGCCCTCCACCCCTCTACTTTGGAGTACTAGTACGATTTCTCCACTGTAGAGAAGGAACTGAGGAGAGTGCAGGACGCACGCGCTCAGGAAGATTCCAACGAGACGGGAGATACCAACTCAGTGCATGTGTCCAGACCAGGCACTGCTACGGAAGATCTCCGATCAATGGCGCCAGGACGCACCGTCACCTAGAGTGGAGCACCCACAGGGACACACATCTCGAAGAACCTCAGTTACTGCAAGGTGAGTAACTTTCTCTTCTTAACTGTTTCCTTTTGGAGTCCCCAGGCCCCCCAACATGCTATAAAAACTTCAGGGCCCACCTGTGCCGCAACAACTTCTGTATAGCCAGTAGATTAAAAGCCAGGGCAGGGGTAGCAAGCAGGGAAATTGCCTGGGGCCTTGTTACTCCGGCTTCTGTTTCAGGCCCCGGCCATGAGCCTTGGGCTTTCTGCCTGGGGCCCCAACGAGTCTAATGGTGGCCCTAATCTCTGGTTCATTTTGGCGGACCCCCTGAAACACGATCGCGGTCCCCCCAGAGCCCTGGCTGGGAACCACTGTTCTAGAACTGGTTGAACTGTTACAAACAAAATGAAGGGTTCCCCCCCGAGAAAAACGGCCCTTGCTGGCAAACAGAAATTTTTTTTGGGGGGGGGGGGAAATCGTGGCTCTGACACTTCCCAGCACTTGCTAGGGGCGTTGATTATAATGCGTTTCTCCCCCGCACCCCCGATATCAGCGGCCAGGGGGCGGGGGGGGGGGAGACAGACCCAACAAACCCCGAACGAGTCTCACTGGCCTGTCAAACAGAGGCGGGTCGGGTCTCTCCCGCTCTGAGCGACCGACCCCAGGCTCCGCGCCCGGGCAGACCAAGCGGCACAGCCTGGCGCCCGGCGCGGCGGGAGCCCGATGGAGCCGCCCCTAGGGGCAAAGGAACCCCCGCTGCACTGAGCCCCGGCATTCGGCGGCGCTAGGACCGCCTGGGAACGATCCCTGCCCATGGCTCTCCCGGGCGCGCGTCCCACGGGCAGCCTCCGAACGCCTGAGAGGCGCGGCCGGGGAGGAGCGGGCTGCGTGCGCGCTCCCGGCTGCGCGCGAGCGGGGCGGTCTCCCTCTCACGTCGGGTGCGGTCCTGGGGCCTGGGGGCGCGGTGTGGCGCTGTGCGGGGCCGCCGCCCGGCTCGAGCTCGGGGTCATGGAGGAGCACGGGGGGGAGGAGCCGGCGGCGGGCGACTTCGAGCTGCTCGTGAGGAATCAGCGCAGGGAGAAGCGGGAGCTGCAAGGCGAGGAGCGGCCGTGGGGTCCGGGCGGGCGCGGGGCTTGAGGAGAGGGAGGGCCCAAGGGCAGGGGCGCGTGTGCGGGGCGTGGGGGCGCAGCCGGGCGGGGGTGTCTGTGCGGGGCGGGGGGGATGGAGGGAGGGGTGAATGCAGGGCGTGGGGTTGCGGGAGTCGCGGAGGGGTGTGTGCGGGGTGTTGGGGCAGGGGCGGTAGAAAGGGGGTGGAAGGGAAGAGGGGGTGTGTGCCGGACATGGAGTCAGAGAGGGCAGATGAGAGCTCATGGTCTGGCCTGGGAAGGGTGGCGGGCAGTGTTGCCTGTAATTTTTGACAGGCCATGTGCGCAAACAATTTCTTCTGTGCAGATTGTTATGGTTCTGTGCAAATTTCTGTGCGCATGGTGTTTTGCCGTGTTTGTGGGGTTTAGGATCTGTGTGCGTGTGCACACGTGCACGGCTTAGAAGGAAACAGTGGTGGGGGGCACCACGTCTGTGCTGGGACCCTAGGCTGTGCTGCTGCCAGAGCTAGCTTTCTCTGCAGGTAGCAGTGCAGCATGTACGTCGCACTTCAAAGCAGTTCATGAGTGTTAACTAAACGTTAAGACCCTTCTGGGAAGTAGGAAATAATTCTTTTTACAGACGAAGAAAGAGAAGCAGAGTGGTGAAGTGATTTCCCCACTTGGTGAATCATTTTGAGAGGCAGGGTTAGGGCCCAGGAATTTGTCTCCCAGTCTATATCTCTGTGTAGCTTTTTTACTGCATTATGGACAACACTTAACTTGAATAAAAGGTACAAAAACTACTACTGGTGCAGTTATGAACAATGAAACCCACAAGTATCAGGACCCAGGCAATTTCCCTGCTTGCTACCCCTGCACTTCATTTCTGTTTTTAATTTTAAAAAAAGAGAAACTGAGGATGTCTGGTCTTCTACGCTATTCTAGGGTAAAGGGAGTTACAAAAAAAGTTCTAATGTCCACTTGCAAACATGCCAATCTTAAAATCTTATTCCCGCAAAGCTAATCAATTTAAAAAGAGTTATAGGGTACTACATCTCCCAGTGATTTTTACAGTCATATCTTATTGTGTGAAAGACCACCCAAACCAAAGAGGAAACGAGGTAGCTGACCATACACAAAGTACTGTCAAAGGACCAAAGTCAATACTTAAATAAACCCCCAAACAAACCAAAACTGTTCATTTATAGTAATTTATTGTTATAATAGGTATATTAAAACAAATCACAGATGTGTGATTTTTCTAAGTTGATTTCCATTTAAATATTAATAACAGAGTGGCTCAGATAGTAGGATTCACATCTAGATTTCAAAACTCCAAGATTTGTTCAAAATCTCAGCCCCACTCATTATAGTGCTCTGAATCTATCTGCATAATTTTAATTTTGCGCATCCTTGAAGTATGGGGGTAATGGAATGCAGGGTTTTGATTTGAGCCCATCTGTAGACCCCCAGTCCTGCAAACATGTACATATTTTAAGTTCTGATTGGATTCAGTGGGGCTTCTCAGATGTGTGATGTTGAATGGTCTGTATTTTCAGAATCGGACCCATAGTTCATTATCTTAAAAATACTGAACTAACTTTCATAAGTCTTGAATATTTATGTTCTTCAATAGAGATTGTAAAACAATCCAAATTCAGAGTTTTTGGTTCCAGACATTTGAGTTATGCAAACAAATTTCAACAGACTTTTCACTAGCTTTTCAAAATAAACAGTTTGCTGAGGCAAAGTATGGAAAATTTTAGCCCCATATAATTTTGAGAAGGCTATGGCTGAGTTCCATACAGGTAGCAAATACTTTAATAATGATGGGGCTGGAATATTTTCTTGCTTTCCCTGGGGTTGATAATTGTATCTTTCAGAATGTATAGTTATTTTAAAATGTAGTAATCCTGCTAGGCAGTCTCATAACCTAACTGTTATGACATACTAGTATGTCAAATCTTGATTACCTTATTTATATAGCCCAATTTTAGTCACAGTTGCACCAATAAATTTAGCATATTTCATTTATTAGAGGTAAACCATTGATCATTCTACTGGGTGTTCCTACAGCGAAAATTCAAGGTATGAAAAATGCTGTTCCTAAGAATGACAAAAAGAGAAGAAAACAATTGATTGATGATGTTGCCAAACTGGAGGCAGAAATGGAACAGAAGCACAAGGAAGAACTGAAGCAGCTAAAGGAAACTTTACCTGAGCAGAATAAGGTACTAGTCATGTTTAGTCTTATCTGTAAGGTTTTGGGAGCAAATATGAACTTCAATCAGCTTTCATTGAAATTGAGTAATTGTATATATATGTAACTGAGGATAGAACTATTAAAGGGTTTAATCATAGATTAATAGATTTCAGGTCTGAACCCAGTCGTCGTCGTCGCGCCCCCCGCTGCCGCTCTATCAGGATTATGGTGATAATAAAGCTTGTGTGGTGTTCAGATACTGAGGGTAATGAGTGCTATAGAAAAAACCATATCAACAAATTATTTTTGAGAGAGTTTTAAGAGCAAAATCATATGTCCAATTAAGAGTGTTAGCAGCTCATTCTTGTCTGTCTTTGCTTTTAAAAAAAAAATTAACTTTTAGCTCCCATAGTATGTCTTCATGCTCAATACCTAATCTAGTTGTGTGTCAGTTTATTGATGCTGCTTTTGTGAGAGGTTCAGTGATGTGGTTCTTGTATTGTGATTCTTGTCAAGAATTTGTGCCTGAACTCTGAGCACTTCCTATATCGGGGTGGGCAAACTACGGCCTGGGGGCTGCATCCAGCCCTTCAGACATTTTAATCTGGCCCTTGAGATCCCACCAGGGAGCAGGGTCCAGGGCTTGCCCCGCTCTGACTCTCCAGCCAGGGAGCAGGGTTGAGGGCTTACCCCACTCCATGCATGCTGTGGCTCTGCGCGGCTCCTGGAAGCAGCGGCATGTCCTCCATCCGGCTCCTACACATAGTGGCAGCCAGGGGGCTCCGCATGCTGCCGCTGCCCCAAGCGCCACGCCCGCAGCTCCAATTGGCCGGGAGCCACGGCCAGTGGGAACTGCAGGGGTAACACCTGCGGATGGGGCAGCACACAGAGCCACGGGGCAGCACACAGACCCACCTGGCTCCGCCGCCGCATAAGAGCCTCTGATAGTGTGGCTGATGTTATTAGGCCCTGTGATGGTGTCCCCTGAATAGATATGTGGGCACAGTTGGCAATGGGCTTTGTTGCAAGGATAGGTTCCTGGGTTAGTGGTTCTGTTGTGTGGTATGTGGTTGCTGGTGAGTATTCGCTTCAGTTTGGGGGGCTGTCTGTAGGCAAGGACTGGCCTGTTTCCCAAGGTTTGTGAGAGTGTTGGGTCCTTCTTCAGGATAGGTTGTAGATCCTTGATAATGCGTTGGAGGGATTTTAGTTGGGGGCTGAAGGTGACGGCTAGTGGCGTTCTGTTATTTTCTTTGTTAGGCCTGTCCTGTAGTAGGTGACTTCTGGGAACTCTTCTGGCTCTATCAATCTGTTTCTTCACTTCTGCAGGTGGGTATTGTAGTTGTAAGAATGCTTGATAGAGATCTTGTAGGTGTTTGTCTCTGTCTGAGGGGTTGGAGCAAGTGCGGTTGTATCGCAGAGCTTGTCTGTAGACAATGGATCGTGTGGTGTGGTCAGGGTGAAAGCTGGAGGCATGTAGGTAGGAATAGCGGTCAGTAGGTTTCCAGTATAGGGTGTGTTTATGTGACCATCGTTTATTAGCACTGTAGTGTCCAGGAAGTGGATCTCTTGTGTGGACTGGTCCAGGCTGAGGTTGATGGTGGGATGGAAATTGTTGAAATCATGGTGGAATTCCTCAAGGGCTTCTTTTCCATGGGTCCAGATGATGAAGATGTCATCAATATAGCGCAAGTAAAGTAGGGGTGTTAGGGGACGAGAGCCGAGGAAGTGTTGTTCTAAGTCAGCCATAAAAATGTTGGCATGCTGTGAGGCCATGCGGGTACCCATAGCAGTGCCGCTGATCTGAAGTGTGAACCCAGGCATGGGAATCATCACCCGCAACCAGAAGGACTATCAAAAATTAAGTGGGCCATTGTAAGATAAGTCTTGTTAATTGCCCTATCCACTCATGGATAAGAACCTGCAGAAGGCCTTATCCCATTTTTTGAATGCCAGAAGAGGGAAATAAAAGTAGTGGATGTGAAGGCCTTGTCTACACGACAAAGTTTTATCATTAAAAGCTGTCTTTTGCTGACAAAACAGGGGTAGTGTATGCTCTACAAAGCTATTTTTGGCGGCAAAACTATGCTGTTTTGCTGACAAAACAAAACCACCTTAATGAGAGGCATAAAGCTTTTGTGGCAAAATTAAAGCGAAAAAACATCAGTGTAGACACTGCTGTTGGTTTTGTCAACATAACTGGCTTCCACCAGTATCCCACAATGCCTGCCATGACCTCTGGACTCACTGTTTTGATCTCTGCTGCCCTGCAGGCATGCACACCTCCCTTCCTTTCAAAGCTCCTGGAAGTATCTGACAGATGAGCATGCTCCTTTTGGGGAACAGAGAGCAAATCATTAACGTGGAATGCTCCTGTTCTGCCCTTCACTAGGAACACAGGGGCAGGCAGACTGCTGCTGTAGGGAGTGTGTGTGTGTGTGACTGCTGTGCTACTTTGACATTCCTCAGCACTGAGAGCTCACAGAGCTGCTCAGGATGCTGCTCGGAGTAAGTGAGGAGGCTGTGGGAGAATTTGGAGGGAATCGCAGAACCATAGGCAGCCAGAGAGGGCTGCTTCAGGAGAGACTGCTGTGCCGAGCAGAGCGGGATGCACAGTTGCCAGCTTTCACATGGTAAATAAACCCCCCGACTTTCACAATAAGCAAAAATCAAGCTAATTCCATTTCAAAACAAGGCCAAAGCAAGCCAATCCCTAAGAACCCCAACTCTCTATGTGACTAGATTCCCCTGGCATGCAGTCTGGGACTGTGGTGGGCCCACTGTGCCCTCCTGACTCTTTCCCCCCCTGCTTGTCCCCCTTGCCCCTGCTTGCCAAGAGCCGATCCAAAAAAAAAAAAAAAGCAACAAGCTACAAGCCAAAAATAGCCAACAAGCAACTCGCAAGCCAATTAGCCAAAAACAAGCCCAATTTTTGCGTTTTTTTTGTGAGTTTGTCATGTCTGAGTTGGAGGCTGATGTGGGGGGAAGGGTGTCCTCCTCCCGCACTACCTAAGGATAGGTCAGTCAGCCTGCTGTCTCCCCTGCCGGTTATTGGTCCAATAATACCTCACTCACCTTGTCTCTCTAATATCCTGGGACCAGCATGGCTACCACAACACTGCATACAATACTGAAAAATTTAGCAATTGTGCAGTAAATGAGCTAGGGCTGTAGAGAGAAGGTAAAGCCCGCACCTTTTAATATATACAGGGAATTAGCTCAGTTCAGAGGACCTTGCAAAGTGTGGCAAAAACATTACAGTTCCATCTGGCCTAATATGTCCTAATGATGAGATTTTATTTAAAAGAGTCTTAAGAGACTGTTGGATCGCATGGTTAACATTCAGGAAAGTTGGATGCATAACTTGTATGTAACCGTATCTTTTTGTGACATTGGCAGATTTAATTATGTTGACTAACTGTCTCAAATTCTAAAGTTTTGTGATATTGGATTTTAAGGTTTGCAGTTCAGGTGATCAGGTAAAGGCTCCATTTATGCCTTAAGACTGAGTCTACTGTTGGAGGTTGTCTTTAGTGTAATTTTCACTACACATTATGCTATATGGTTCTCAATCAAAGTGTTCTTAAGTGGATTGGCTTAACATTCCTGATAGTAAAGAATAAAAGGTTGGGGGGGAGGGTGTCTAGGTCAAGGAGTAAATATGGTAAGTTAATAGATAATAGAATAAAGTATTGGCTGCCTTCCTACAAATAAAAGTAAGCTAAAATGGTTTCTCTTAAAATATTTTAAACGTTGATAATACTGTTCAATATTTAAAAGTGTAACCTGGTATTGATTGAAACGTATTTAAGAGACATTTCCAAGGATCTGTTGTAATTCTCCATTCTCACTCATATTAACTAAAATGTTTAAAATTTTGTTTCCCTCTAGCTAGATTCTGTGGCTGATAGTATTGCAAGTTTTCAGCTTGAGGAAAGAGAGCAACAGATACAGCAACCTCGAATATCAAAAGCACAGAAAAGGCGGGTATGACACCAGTTTCAGTATTTTCTGCGAAGAAGTGCTGGCGTTTTCACACCAGAGTATACATTTACTAACTTATGTCTAGGCTCAACATCTGCTAGTTCCATTAAGTTTACTTAAATCTCTAAAGAAATGCAGGCATCTTCCCAATGGGCTCTACCAAGTCTAACACAGCTTTGGTGGTAGAGCTGCTTGAAACTTTTGTCAGAAAATTCCCATCAGAAAATGCTAATTCAAGAAACCCATCTTGGATTTGGCAAACTTTAATTGAACCACAAGTTGGTTTCCTGGCAGGCTGCTGGGGGACCCCAGTATTCTAGGGTTTGTGATTTAAGGGCATCTCTGTCAGGGACCCCAGCACATCCAGGGGCAGTGGTTCCAGGGCAGCTATGCCATGCCAAAGCTTCCAGGGTCCCTATGTTGGAGCCAGGAGTCTGGAAACCCTGAGGATCATCAGGGCTCCCAGTCTTACTACCATGGAGCTAGAAGCCTGGAAGCCCTGGCTCTAGCCAATCTGTACTCTGGTCTGTTGCAGAGAACAAGGAAGCCCTGAGAGCTTCTACTTGAGCCAGGACTCTCTGGGCTTCTCAGCTTCTGGTTCTGCAGTAGGGAGCCTGGAAGTCCTGGGAAATCCAGCTGATGACTCCTCAGTGGGGTCATGGGAGCCAGTTGGCAGCTGCTGACTGAAATGAACAATTCTTGTCAGTTTCAACCTGCCAGAGTCCCAGTGAACAGACTCTATTTCAGAAACACCACATTTTGATGTTTCCGAAATGAAATTTTTCAGAATTTCTGATTTGTGGGAAACTTCGAAAAATTTTGTTTCATTCTGATTTGGAATGAAACTAAATATCAAAATTTCCCACAAACCAGAATTCCTGAGTTTTAGCCAACTCTAATTGGTAGGTTACCTGCATAGTTCTTAAAGCTCAGTAGTTCTGAGAAAAGGAAGTACCCCACAAGAATGAATATGCAGAGGCAACACTTGGGTAGCCAGTATATTATCTTAGCTGGAATTGGCCAGGACACTGAAGTTTATCCATCTTTCTTTTCACACAAAAAATATTTTGAGATTTTTAAGGACTACAGGTATTCAGAGCTCCCATTTTATAACTCTTCCAAAAGATGAATGACTTAGGAGAGTGCTATCTACTGAATTGCCAGTGCTTCTTTCTGCAGTTCTTCTGAAGGTCTTCCATCAAAGTACTAACTTCTGAGCCCACTTAACTTGAGATCAGATGGTAAAATGAAAATCTTGGAAATACCACACACAAAAATAAGTCCTCTAGTGAAACAAAGTGAAACAGGCAATGTGTCTCACAGTATTTGCTCTACAAAATTCTTATGTTCCTGCAATTTGGCTTCATGAACTGATCGTAGAATCATAGAATATCAGGGTTGGAAGGGACCTCAGGAGGTCATCTAGTCCAACCCCCTGCTCGAAGCAGGACCAATTCCCAGTTAAATCATCCCAGCCAGGGCTTTGTCAAGCCTGACCTTAAAAACTTCTAAGGAAGGAGATTCCGCCACCTCCCTAGGTAACACACTCTAGCGTTTCACCACCCTCCTAGTGAAAAAGTTTTCCCTAATATCCAACCTAAACCTCCCCCACTGCAACTTGAGACCATTGCTCCTCGTTCTGTCATCTGCTACCATTGAGAACAGTCTAGATCCATCCTCTTTGGAACCCCCTTTCAGGTAGTTGAAAGCAGCTATCAAATCCCCCCTCATTCTTCTCTTCTGCAGACTAAACAATCCCAGTTCCCTCAGCCTCTCCTCATAAGTCATGTGTTCCAGTCCCCTAATCATTTTTGTTGCCCTCCGCTGGAAGTTTTCCAGTTTTTCCACATCCTTCTTGTAGTGTGGGGCCCAAAACTGGACACAGTACTCCAGATGAGGCCTCACCCAATGTCCAAGAGAGGGGGACGATCACGTCCCTCGATCTGCTGGCAATGCCCCTACTTATACATCCCAAAATGCCATTGGCCTTCTTGGCAACAATGGCACACTGTTGACTCATATCCATATGATGCTTCAGTATAGCATGGCTTCAAGATAAACTCATAGGCCATAATTTTCAAATGTATGCCTAAAGTTAGGCACCTATATAAACAAGAGATTAGCTGTTTTTGGATTTAGACACTTAACTTTAGGCACCAACTTGGAAAATGTTAGTCTAATTTGCTAATATACTATACAAAGGTTATTATTTCCTAAAGGGTGAATTTCAGTATATTTATTAACTGGAAAGATTCTGACCTTCCTTCGGTGGCACAGTGGTAATGAACACACAGACCTAAATCTGAGCAACAAAATTCTGAATTTCATAGATCTGAGCAGCAAACCAACAGTTGCACAGACACTTGGGACCTCTTGTAAGCTTGAACATTATTTTTCATATAACTTTCATTTGAAATGAACATCCTCTTGTAGCATTCTTTATTGTGTTTTCCATCCAAGGAAAAGAAAGCTGCATTGGAGAAGGAAAGAGAAGAAAGGATAGCTGAAGCTGAGATAGAAAATTTAACAGGAGCCAGACATCTTGAAAGTCAAACGCTTGCCCAGATATTGGCAACAAGGCAGTTAGAGATGAAACAGATTCCATCAGATGGCCACTGCATGTACCGAGCTATTGAAGACCAGCTCAAGAATCAGCAAAACTCCTGGACTGTTGCAACTCTGAGAAGTCAAACTGCAGAGTATATGCAAAGTCATGTTGATGATTTCCTGCCGTTTCTAACAAATCCCAACACGGGAGACATGTATAGCCGAGGTAAGAATTATAGTTTAATAAATGGTTCTTAAAAAGTGTCTTTTTACAAATGTTACCAGTAGTTCTGGAGCTTATCAGTATTAGTTATAGCTGACTTGTGACCAGTTACAGCATGGGTGTCCACTGATCTGTATGTCATACTTCTGTTTGGTAGTGTAGACAGGATCGTAATGTCCTCTGTAACTAAGCAAATGTCTTGAAGATGTTTGTCTACATGTAGGAAAGGTAACTTCAGCCTGGTTATGTAACACAGTTAACCTCATCTATGATATAAAATGGAACTCTGTTACAGCTTGACCAGGTAACAATGGTGCGGTAATCGTGTTCCATGAGTGAGCTGAAATTGTAATGTAGATAGGACCTCTAACATAAGGATAATCTTGTTTACAGTTGAAATCCTGCAGGGATCAATGTTACTATTCTCTCTGTTGAATTTTGTTTTGGAAAAAAATATGCCTTTGATTAAGCTGTCTGGGAGACATACATTGTAAATTGACCTTGGCATGAAATAATGAAGAAGATTTAGTTGGACAATGGCTTTCAAGTCCATCTATGCCTCAAAAGCAAAATAGCTCTTTCTTTAAAGATGCTCAGTGGTACTGTTCATATCCTGTATCAAGAATAGGCATTTAGCAGAAGGGAGCCTTTAAGCATGTTTCAATAGCCCAAAAAATCACTCTACAAAAAATTTTTCAATTAAAGCTTAAGCTTCCGTGGAACCAGGATAAAGGAAAGTGTGGTATGTTTTGCTGTTCCTATTAACATGGCCGTTAGAGAGTCCAGAGTCAAGTGTTATTCACATAGTTACCACATGTACTGTAGAGCTGAGTATTAGAACAGTATTGTGAAAATTAGCTAGTCTTCATGTTCACCTCTTGTGATGCTAGCATCCTCATATTCCCTGCCTCTTCATATTAGCTCCCTGAGAGAGAGACAGTGTTACAGGTACTGCTGCAGTGTTGTTAGCAGCACGGTAGCACTTCTGGCCGGCTCTGTCTTGTCTTGTCTTAGGCTAAACTTCCTTTCTTAAATTTAAATTACCTTTCTATTTTGAGGTCAATGGTAATTGGGACAAAATACAACATGGTTTTACAAAAGGTAGATCATGTCAAACCAACCTGATATCCTTCTTTGAGAAGGTAACAGATTTTTTAGACAAAGGAAACGCAGTGGATCTAATTTACCTCTGTTTCAGTAAGGCATTTAATACAGTTCCACGTGGGGAATTATTAGCTAAATTAGAAAAGATGGGGATCAATATGAAAATTGAAAGGTGGAAAAGAAACTGGTTAAAGGGGAGATTACAATGGGTCACATTAAAAGGTGAACTGTCAGGCTGGAAGGAGGTTACTAGTGGAGTTCTTCAGGGACTGGTTTCGGGACCAATCTTATTTAATCTTTTTATTACTGACCTTGGCACAAAAAGCGGGAATGTGCCAATAAAGTTTGTGGATGACACAAAGCTGGGAGGTATTGCCAATACAGAGAAGGACCAGGATATCATACAGGAAGATCTGGATGACCTTCTAAACTGGAGTAATAGTAATATGATGAAATTTAATAGTGAAAAGTGCAAGGTCATGCATTTAGGGATTAATAACAAGAATTTTTGTTATAAACTGGGGACGCATCATTTGGAAGTAACAGAGGAGGAGAAGGACCTCGGAGTATTGGTTGATCACAGGATGACTGAGCCGCCAATGTGATATGGCCGTGAAAAAAGCTAATGCAGTCTTGGGATGCATCAGGCGAGGTATTTCCAGTAGAGATAAGGAGGTGTTAGTACCATTATACAAGGCACTGGTGAGACCTCATCTGGAATATTGTGTGCAGTTCTGGTCTCCCATGTTTAAGAAAGATGAATTCAAACTGGAACAGTTACAGAGAAGGGCTACTAGGATGATCCGAGGAATGGAAAACCTGTCTTATGAAAGGAGACTCAAAGAGCTTGGCTTGTTTAGCCTAACCAAAAGAAGGCTGAGGGGAGATATGATTGCTCTCTATAAATATATCCGAGGGACAAATACCATGGAGGGAGAAGAATTATTTAAGCTCAGTACCAGTGTGGAGACAAGAACAAATGGATATAAACTGGCCATCAGGAAGTTTAGACTTGAAATTAGACAAAGGTTTCTAACTATCAGAGGAGTGAAGTTCTGGAACAGCCTTCCAAGGGAAGCAGTGAGGGCAAAAGACCTATCTGGCTTCAAGACTAAGCTTGATAAGTTTATGGAAGGGATGATATGATGGGATAGCCTAATTTGGCACTTAATTGATCTTCAACTGTTAGTGGTAGATATGCCCAATGGCCTGTGATGGATGGGATGTTAGATGGGGTGGGATCTGAGTTACTACAGAGAATTCTTTCCTGGGTGTCTGGCTGGTGAGTCTTGCCCACATGCTCAGGGTTTAGCTGATCACCATATTTGGGGTCGGGAAAGAATTTTCCTCCAGGGCAGATTGGCAGAGACCCTGGGGGGTTTTTCACCTTCCTCTGCAGCGTGGGGCACGGGTCACTTGCTGGAGGATTCTCTGCATCTCGAAGTCTTTAAACCATGATTTGAGGACTTCAGTAGCTCAGACATAGGTTAGAGGTTTGTTACAGGAGAGGGTGGGTGAGATTCTGTGGCTTGCGTTGTACAGGAGGTCGGACTAGACGATCACAATGGTCCCTTCTGACCTTAAAGTCTATGATTCTATGATTTTATTGGTAGGTTTATTTCCTGGGTATCAAAATAGATAAACCTTCAGTTTGCCTCATTAAATCTTTAACCGTGATAGCCTTTTTGAAATCCAAACTGATTTTCTTTCATTGTTGAGACGGGTGATTTCTCCAAGAAATGCTTTTTGTCTTGCAGTGTGTAATTTTGTTCAGTTTATTCTTCACCCAGAACATATTTATTAGTGTTTTTTATGAAGAGGTCAGCTAATTTTATTCTTTTAATTTATAAGAGCACAGATCTTACTTGCAAGTAAGATTGGGGATTGCCTTAAAACTGTCTTCTGGAGACATGCATAGAAGGGAATGTTCTCTGGATTCTAAATATTTCAGTTTACTGAAAAATAAAAGTCAGTCTGGAGAAAAACATAGTAGAACTGCAGCTAGTTACAGGACCTGAAAAATTTATCTGACATCTATATTGCACAAGAGCCAAGCCTACTAATTAGATAGAAAGATACTTCCACTGCATGCTGTGTCCCAAAGCTATGACTCCTGCAGTTTAAAGCTATTATGTACCACTTATTGGGTACAATATTTAATTAGATTATATTGTCCATAAAATGTATTCAAGAAGTACTTAAAATATAACTTGCTGTTTCCTGTATTTTTATTACATTATCTTTCCTGTCTTTGCTCTCCTTTTCCCTCTTTTCTTGTCAACAAGAGATCATACTATACTTCTTCCTTTGTCGTAGGTGTCTGTTTGCTATTTGTTTTCTCTTTCCCCGCAGTTACATATTCTTATTCCCCTACATTGTGTTCTACTTTTCCAGGCCAAAATTTATTTTTAATTTATCCCATCAATATCTTCCTCACCCACCCACATCCAGGAAAGAGATTTACTGAGAGGTTTACTCCATTTATTTTTTTCCTGCAGGGGAGTTTGAAAAGTACTGTGATGATATAGTCAACACAGCTGCATGGGGTGGTCAGCTGGAAGTAAGTATGGTACTGTTTATTTTTGTTGATGAAACTCTGAAGTGATTGAAAACTAATGGATTTTTAGATGCAAATTCTTAGAAATGCCCCTTCTCCAGTTCAAAGAAGGGGATTTTCTGTAATAGAGAAATTTCTGGAGGCCTAATCAAGCATGGTTGTAAAGAAATATAACAATACCTACTCTTATATAGTGTGTTTTATCAGTATATCTCAAAGCACTTTACAAAGAAAGTAAGTAAGTATCATTATTCCCCTTTTTAACCTCTTGACAAACTTTACATTGTGGTCATATATTTTCTCAGAGCATTACCAGTTTTGTCTGTGTCTGTATTGCTCGCAGCAGCTTAAGTCTTTAAAACTTTAGAAACACCTGTTCTACATATGATGGTTGACAACATGGAGGGAAAGAATAAAAAATAGAGACAGAAAGTTGGTTTTATTTTCTTTGTTTAAACAGGGTCAACATACTTCACAGCACAGCAAGCTATCATACAGCAAAGTGTAGTTAGTGAGATTTATAATTAATACTGAAATAAAAAACTTTTTAGCACTTCTGCTCTGTTTTTGCATTTCATTCCCCTTCAGCATTGAAAATAGACTAGTTGCTCTCTCAAGTTCTTGAGAACTAGCACTGTGCTGCATTGCTTTTATCAACAAAGCAGGAGATGGTTCATAGAAACTTTTCGTAGGAATTTAAAAACTAACCACAGGAAGATTTTTGTAAAATCTCACTTCTAAAAAAACCCCTAAATTTCAGGCTTAAACTGACCTAATGGTATGTGTGTTAGAACTAAGTGTTTTTCATGGTATTTAATTATACTTCTCAGTATATTGTTTTCCTGTCTTAAAGCTAAGGGCTCTATCACACATTTTGCAAAAACCAATTGAAGTAGTGCAAATGGATTCTCCTCCCATCATTGTTGGTGAAGAATATTCAAGCAAACCATTAATACTAGTGTAAGTAGATATTTTTATTCCTATTTTTTAATCTTGTTTTTCCCACAGGAGAGTATTTAAGGACTGATAGTAAGTGATTGCAAAACTTCATCTAGCTTGTCTGACTAGAGAATTTTACAGAATGAGTTGGCTTGAAAATGCAAAATAGCCATCAATAAATCAGGTTAGGAAACTAAAGAAGCTTATTGTCAGTGTTCCCTCTAATTTTTTACATCCATGTGCAGAATGAATGTCATGTGCACCAATATGAAGGTGATGTGTGACACATCACCTTCATATTGGTGCACATAACAAAATTCATGTGATGGGGGTGGGGCCAAGGAGTTCGAGGTGTGGGAGGGGGCTCAGGGCTGGGGTGTGGGGGGGAGGGCTCTGGATTGGGGCTGGAGAGGAGAGGGTTGGGATGTGGGACGGGGGTCAGGGCTGGGCAGAGGGTTGGGATGCGGGAGGTGTGGGTTCTGGGGTAGGGCCGGGATGACAGGTTTGGGGTGCAGGCTGCCTCGGGATGCAGGCTCCCCCCAGCCCTCTCTCGCCACAGCAGCTTGGGGCTGAGGGAGGGGCTCCTCTCCCCTGGCTGCAGCAAGTCCAGGGCAGGTCGATGCTGGGGCTGGCGGAGAGGGACACCTCTCCCCCAGCCACGGCAAGTCCGTACTGGGGCCGGCGGGGAAGGGTGCCTCTCCCCGCTACTGCAAGTCCATGTTTGGGCCGGTGGGGAGGGGCGCATCTCCCCACTGCAGCCCTGAGCCCCTGTGCAAGGCTTAATAGGCAGCTGTGCAGCTACACAGCTTAGAGGGAAATTAGACGTCTGTCACTTTTCTGTCAGTTGACTGATTCATTAGCAGCCTTCAGTTATGCAAGAAAAGCTATTTTAGTCACAATTATAAATGGATTTAACGTATTATTTTATATAAAAGCTCCATTAATGATGTAGGTTTTATCATTATTAGCAAAACTAAAGAAACACTCCTTCCTCATGAAAACATGCAGTCAAACTTCCATGGTTTCCAGGATAATACATTTTTCCATGCTGTCTTTAACTTTAATTGAATGTCTTTAAACTATTTGAGAGTAGAAAGTAGGTATGTGTATACATGTGTATTATGTATGTTTTAATTTTAGTTAAATATTAATTTTTTTAAATGGCTTTTTTGTTTTGATTTTAGGTATATGAGACATGCATATGGATTAGGAGAGCATTATAATTCTGTAAAACTGCTAACAGACGCTGCTCCAGAAAATGGTAGCTAGTATACAAGTCATAAGTCCACATGGATAATGGGTGCCGCTTGACACTTTGGGCTCTTCATCTGTGGACGGTTCCCAAGCAGACTGGAAAACAAAAGTAACGGGAAGGAACTTTTAAGAGAGACAAAAGATTTGGCTACGTATTAGAAATAGCAGTTTAAAACAGTACCTAGACTTTGCTGATTTAGATCATGTTTTAGAAAATATTCTATAAAATGTTGGCTGTGTAAGCCAGAGTAACTTGCATAGTTTGTGTATTTTGGTTTACATAGCATACTCTGCCACAGTGAAAAGATCAATAGTATATGTTTCAGGTAGCTTGTGGGGTTTTTTTTTTAATTTCCTGCTTCTGTGCATTTCTACTGAAGAATTGACATGATTTGCAGGCTCTTATAGGTCATTTCAAGTAGATTGTGGTGATCATGGAGATTTTATTAAGGCATTTAAATGACTGTTAAATAATATTCTAGACTGGAGTGACCGTAAAGATACTGCTTTAATAGTCCCAACAAGGCATAGCTAAAACATAGTTAAACAATAGTAAGGACCCTCCTAATACTTTAGTTACATAAGAGCCAGAGGCAAAGCCAGTGATGCTGAATATCTTATCCTTATCTGACTCAAAACTTCGCAAACCTAACTTCTGTTTTTATGGATTCTCCTCTTAATTTTTTAATCAGGTTTCGAAAACTGCCTTGTCTTCTGCCACTGGCATTTCTGCTTATGGCCATAGATGACAGAACAGGGGTGAGAATTGATAATGGGACTGCCGGTCCACTTAGTCCCACCTGTAGAACAGGGGACATTCAACTTTTCGTTCCTTTGTAATTTATTTTTCTTTACAATGTTGTCATTTCAGATGAAGACTTAGTGAACTAATCCAAACATACTGTTTATAGTACTGCCATTCCATCAGATCTGCAGTTTGGAATGCCGTTAACAATACTCAGGTGTGGTCTGTACTTAAATTTAGGTCAATGTACTTATGGTGCTCAGCAGTGTGAAAAATCCACACTCCTGAGCACCATAGCCATCCTGACCTGATCCCTGGTGTAGATGTAGCTAGATCGCTGGAAGAATGCTTCCATCAACCTACTTATGTTGTTCGAGGAGATGGTGTTCTTACAGCAATGGAGAAAACTCTTCTGTCGTAGGTTACATCTATGTTATGGGGTTATACCGGCAAAACTATGGCGCTGTAGTTACGCCACTATAGTCCCTGTAGTGTAGACGCTGCCTTATATAGCCATTTGCAAACAGTTGTAAAAATTGTGATCACTTAATTCTTGTAAGTAACTTTAAAGATGACCTGCAAAGAAATTTGGGTTTGCATTGTCTGTTTTGCTTCTTTATGACACACAGAGAAGACTGAAATATATAAGGAAAGCCTGCTAATACCAGGAAATTATTTTTTTATATCGACTGTTTAAAACTTTTTTACACTGATTTTTTTTAACTGGCTGCATAAACAGTTTGGGAAAAATGCAGTTGTTAAAGATGTAACAGTGCTGCCCCTCAGCTGAGGGCTGAGAGAGTTTATAGTCCACATCCAAGACATCTGAATTGTACAGTAAAACCAGAAAACAAATTTACATTCCTGGTATTTCTTCATACCTTCTTTATATATCTCAAAAAAGTAAGACACAAACCCAACTATTTTTCTTCTGTGGGTCATTTAATGAAAGCACTTTGTGGTCTTGTGAAAGAGATGCAAATGAGGACTTTACAAATGCCATATTTATTTGTTTTATAGTCAGTCTTCCCACATAAAGAATGTTTGATTATGAATTTCACAGCGTGGAGCTTGCCAGGCAAAACAAGTGTTAACCAGGTATAACATCATTTGGCAATCTTTATTTGTTTGGTATTTATTGTAATAACTGGATGAACCCAATTGATGTCTTGATTGCAGGAGTCAGACTTTTTTTGCAATGCCTGTTACTCGAAATGGATGCATTAGTGAGAGAGAGTTAATATAGAAATCTTCTTCAATGCCATAAAGATTTTCACCATAATATAATAATATACTGTTTTTAGTGTTACCTAAAATTGATGTATTAGGCGTGCACTTGCTGATTTATGTAGCTGAATAATGGTCAGTTAATTGAGGCTTCATCAGAATTTATTCCTGGGTCACTAATTGAAAGGGGAAAAAGATGATATTGGAATTCTGGAATATGTCTGTATCCAACAATTTGTCCAATTTAAGATGTTTTCAACTTGTACAAAGCAAAAGAATATTTAATTATAGTGAGCAAAGGACCTTTGCTTATGCTGTATGGGCCTTGAATTAAGAAGTTAGAAACTTATTTGTATTTATTGAATTGGATAAGATTTCCACTTATCAGTTTGTCCTGAAATAGATTATCTATCACAGAATTTCTCTGCAGTACTTCCTGTTCCCTCTGAAACTAGTGAACTTAATGATTTTCACGTTTGTCATGATCCTACAACATCGTCATGTCTTAGTCAACCACAAGTTCCATTCAAGAAGACAACTCTCTATTAAAGAAATAGAGATCCAAAAGCTCATTTTTCTCCTGTTTTTAAACCAATGTTATCTCTTAATGTCACCAGTTGTACTTGCCATGGCCTTTTTCAGTAGCATCCACTCCAGCATATTATAGAATTTTCCCATCTTACGTGAAATGTGGTCAGCTAGATACTACAAAAACTCCCTGTTTCACTTTGCGTTTTAACTTTTTGCTGCATATTAAAGCATGGCTTACATGATTTCCATTGACGCTTCTAAAATTATAGACTTCAACGCAGATCTTTCTTGCTATTCAGTTCACATATTTAATGTCTCCATTTTATCCCATTATTATAGTTATGTCCCTTGTGCCACAAAATATTCCTGCACTTTCTGATTGGTGTTTCACCCTTCAAATACTCATAGAAAGTTATATCTAGAACCCTATGCGGATATGCAATTTATAGCCGCATCTGAGCCGCGGTTCCCAAAAATGGTCTGCGAATATCCATGGATTTGAAGGGCTCTAATCATGTCCCCTTTTTGCCATGTTTAGCCAAGCTGTAAACATTCGCATAAATCAGTGCTTTTAGATTATTCCTGTTCTTTCCAGGCAAACATTTTTTTGTTTTTGATAAAGTTACAGAATTAGTGGCTGAAGGGGTTGCCATACATCTGAACTTTAGTGAAGCATTTCAATGAAACATCATATCAAACTTTCCCAGAATTAATTCAGGCTGACTTGGTTCAGGCTGCGCATTCATATGTGTTGAAAACTGGCTACAAGATTATAAAACTGCAGTGGGGAGAGATGGTCAGTGGGATACTAAACATGGGACATTAATCTCTTTATTACAGGTATTATCACTGAAAAACAGAGTGAACAGAACATTAATGAAATTCACAGTCAGCTCATCAAACAAGGCATTTCAATGCTATCTGGCTCCAAACCTCCTCTTGCTACATTGTTGGCATGTTACCAGTGACCTGTGCTTCCTATTGCTGTTCATCTTTGTTACTTGATGCAAATAGGGTGACTTGACTATTGGTATGTAAAATGCTCTGGTCATTACAGCCATGTTCTCTCTTTACATCGTGTACTTTAAGGGGCAGATCAAATATAAACTTTGGGTTTGTAATGTTCTTAACCAAGGTGTAGGCCTTGGGTTATGTTTGAGAGCGCTCTGCCGAGATTAGGGCCCCATTGTCTTAGACACTGCACAACCAGGATCTGCCTGAGGAGTTTGTAGTCTGTATAGCGGAGTCACAATGGGTGGGACGGGGAATGTGGGTCTGAGTGGCGGAATGTCTGTGCCTTTTAGCCTTGTGACACGAGCCTGATTCAGTTTACCTGGGCTCTTAAACTTGCTGCTGTGGGTTTTTTTCCCCCATTGTAGACATAGTCTGAGACAGACTGATGCACATGTGTGGCTGTTGATGCCCAACATTTGAGGTGGTGATAGTTGCCCTCTGCTTTGGTTCTGCCAATGGAGTGTGGGAGAGGCGGGGTCAGCCAAAGGCTCAGCAGCTAATGGCAGGATGGGGGTAGATTAGAAGTGCAGAGCTGAGATAACACAGAGTCTTGCTAGCATGAGATGGAGGCAGGGGGTGTGAGTGGGTGATGACCTTGACATACCAGCCATGCCCCATTTTCCACAGGCTGTGGCTGCAGCAGGGAGCAAGGAACAGCCCCTTTTACCCCAGGACTCTGCAGCAGGGAGGGTTTGTGGAGCAGGCAGTGGGTTCATGCTCCTTTCTCCCCCAACCTATGGGTGCAGTGGGAGAGTATTGCAGGGGGGATAATGTGCCCGCTCCTCTCCTCAGACTTGGCACATAAGGGAGATGGTGGGCCTGCATGGTTCTGTTCTGCAAACCACCTGCTGAGAGCAAATGTCTTGTCTCTGCTTCCCCAGGTGGTGTTGCAGCCCTATTTCCACAAATGGAAGCTTATCATAGCCCTGCTGTGTGGGGCCTAACCTCTGCTCTCCTTGATAAGTGTTCTGTGGAGTACAAGGTGTGGAGGGTGGGCAGGGAGACTGAACTGGGTATTAGTGGGGGAAAGAGATGGCAGAAGACATGCTAAACCTGCAAAAAAAAAAACAAACAAAAAAAAAACCCTACAGAAATTGGGCTTGTTTTTGGCTTAATTGGCTTGTAAATTGCTTGTTGGCTGGTTTTTGGCTTGTAGCTTGTTTGGCTTGTTGCTTCTTTTTTTGATCGGCTCGTGGCAAGCAGGGGCAAGAGGCGGGGGAAGAGAATCAGGGGTGCACAGAGGGCTCACCACAGTCCCAGACGGCACGCCGGGGAGATCTAGTCACATAGAGTGTTGGGGTTCTTAGGGATTGGCCTGTTTTGGCCTTGTTTTGAAATGGAATTAGCTTGATTTTTGGTTTATTGTGAAAGTCGGGGTGCTTATTTACCATGTGAAAGTTAACAACTGTGGATGGCAGTGGAGGTATTGGAGGGCAGTGGGGATGTTATGGGACTGGAGGGGGTGAGGTTTGCATTTGGGAATATTGGGAAAATTACAGTAATTTGAAAACATTGGTCCGTATGGCTTTAAATGTCCAGGGTGGCATGTGCACTTCACTTACTGGCTCAGCAAGTCTCTTCTGCTTAACTTGTCATTAAGGTAACTCCATACAGCACCAGACCACCATGTCACAGCCGCACATCCCTCACCTTCCCCTTAACACTGCAACTCCTTACACTATCTTCAGTAGTAGCCAGCGTGGCTAGTACTGCACATTGTTATGCTGTTCCCGTGTTTGGTTTGCTTAGATGTGGTAGAGGACACTGACTACTAGGCTCTGCTGCTCCCCCAGATGCACCCTTTTCCTTTGGGAGGTGGGGGCTCCTCCTGAGCCCCCCACTAGTGCTTCCCTGGCCACATCCATAGCATTGCACTGTGGCTGTTCCCATGGTCATGTGAGGGGTCTCCAAGGTCTGGGATGGGGCTGGGTCCTGCCACTGTCTGCACGGTGAGGGGATCCCTGCCCAGCGTAGTTACAAACTGCTATTGGCACAGTTTGCTAGTGGTAGCAGTTACTGACATCTAGGTGTTCTTTTACTGGCCTGTCACAACTTGCAGCCTCTCCCTTTCCCATTATCTAGTCCAGGGATAGTAAGTGGTGATGGGTGGGGATCCATCTGTCACAATTTACTCTCTCTCATCTTTCCCAATCCTCTGATGCAGGGGTAACAAATTGTGACAGATGGGGAGACATCTCACTACAATTTGCTACCATTGTGAAATATCTCTCTCGGATTTGGACACACAAAACAGTATTTTGGTAATCTAGAAAAACTTTCTACAGAGTTAAACCTCAGGCCTATTGTATGTAAAGCCCTGAATGAAAGTGTTGTTTCTTTTAGTCTCTTTCCATTGTATATTAGGCCATACAGTTTCTATAATAAACATTTAATGCACTCAAGTGAAAATAATGTAAAACTTTAGAGCCTAAAAGTCCACTCAATCTTACTTCTTGTTCAGTCAGTCACACAGACAAACAAGTTTAATTACCTTTTCAGGAGATAATGCTGTCTGCTTCTTGTTTTCAGTGTCCTCCGGAACGGTGGCCAAAGCATGAAGGGGCATATGGATGTTTAGGAGACCTGGCATGTAAATACCTAACAATGCCAGCTACAACAATGCCATGCGAATACCTGTTCTCATATTCAGGTGACATTGTAAATAAGAAGCTGGCAGTATTATTTCCCGTAAATGTAAACAAACTTGTTTGTTTTAGTGATTGTCTGAACAAGAAGTAGGACTGAGTGGATTTCTTGGGTCTGAAGTTTTACATCATTTTGTTTTTGAATGCAGTTATGTAACAAAATCTACATTTGTAAATTGCACTTTCACGAAAGAGATTGCACTACAGTACTTGTATGAGGTGAATTGAAAAATACTATTTCTTTTATCATTTTTACAGTGCAAATATTTGTAATAAAAAAATAAAGTGAGCACTATACACTTTGTATTCTGTTGTAAATTAAAATCAAATATTTGAGAATGCAGAAAAACAACCCAAATATTTAATACACTTCAGTTGGTATGCTATTGTTTAACAGTGCGATTAAAACTGTGATTAATCACAATTTTTTTGTGTTAATCACGAGTTAACTGCAATTAATCGACAGCCCTATTTTCAACACTAAATCTGTACTTTGGTGCGCGCGCACACACGTTCATTGCCCTCTGATTTTATTTCAGAAACGTTGTCTCGGATCTTTTCCTGAGTGCTGAAATGCAAGAGTTTCAGCCTCACTGTATTTTTTACCTCAGAATAGCTCTTGCACCTTAGTTATCCAACGGTTTTAAAAAAAAAATCACCATTTTAAGCTGTGAGGAAAAGCCCTAAAGGATAGATTCATAAAGAGACTTGGGCACTGTGATACTGAGCATCACAATGCCTTTTAGCTGCCTAGAAAGTCATAGGAACATCACTGTGATCCACAAAGCCTGAATTAGGTGCCTAGGCTCCCTTTACAATGAATATAGAGAGAAAAGTGCTTTAGAATGTGGTCCACAAAAGCCTACATCCTCAGTGGGGAATTGCCTCAACTAATTAATGGGAGATGCCAACTAGAGCGGTGTCTTCAAAGTCCTGTCCCTCTTCAGAGTTCAGTGCCTAAATACCCACTGCAGGTAGGTGCCTAGCTCTGCCTAGTGATCCATGAATGGGAACCCCTCCTGGAGTCAAATGGCATAGGTATGTAAGCTGTTTCTTGTGAGAAGGAGCTAGGCAGATGCCTGACTCCAAACAAAACAGCTGGATGAGATGTCCACTTTATAACTTCTAGCCCAGTATTAAAGCATTCACCTGGGATGTGGGAAATCCCTGTTCAAATCCCTTCTTTCTCTCTGCTTGTAGGGAGAATTGAATCTTAGTCTCCAACATGCCAGGCATCTGCTCTAATACTGGTTTGTAAAGTGGTATTTATAAGGTGGATGGTAACACTATCTTCCTCTGGCCAGATTATGAATGGAACCCAATCCAGTCGGTGGCTTCTGAGCATGCCTACCAGATCAGGCCCCACTTTCAAGGTAGGCATTTGCCTGCATATTTTTCCTGGTTCGTGATCACTCTGGGGCTTAGGTGGGAAACAGGCATTCAGGTGGTTAGAGTAAGGCAGCAATACACATGCTCTGAGGCAGAAACTTAAGATGCCTAGGGAGCTTTTACTCTGAAAGCATAGGTGCTGAGTTTAGGTGTCTAAAGTGTTTGGTGGGAGATTTGGAAATCACAGTGGAGACTATATCAGGGATTTAGGCACCTAAACCCAGACTTAGTTGCCTAAGTACCTTTGTGAATTTAGCCCTGAGTTTCTCTAATGTGGCCATAAGATGTAGTGTATGTGCCTGGCTTTGTTAGATCTTCATAAGAATGTCAGTGTTCTCCTTTTCAAAACACTTCTATGTATTCTCAGCAAAACCATCTCTTACAGGAGACACATGCCATGCTCTTGCATTGATCGGCCACTGATGTAATATGTCTGTCTTAAGCAGATATATGTATAACGTTTTTCCCCTTGAGCTCTGATTGGTTCAGCTACCACACGATGAAATAGGGAACGACCTGCCAGGTCCCTGGCTGATCATGAAAACCACCTGTACAGCTTCAGAAACAAATACGTAGCATGTGTAGTAAATGCCACATCCTATTCCTGGATGTTTTTGGGCCGGGTGACCAACTTTGCATGTGTGCTCAGACACAACATTACAATGTTTTAAGTCAACTGAAAATGTTTTTGTTGCAAGTTATCACACTGTATCCTTGCAGCTTTGTGGACATCAGAGTCATGGACTCAGTGATAATGCAAGAAAGATGTAAGAGACAATGTTGTGTTCGTAAGTTAAATTTTCCTGGAGCATAGTTAGAAAAGACGAGGTTTATATCACGTGTGGTTAGTGACCAGGTAGAGGCTGAGTTCAAAGAGGGATCTTTACAGTTAAAGCACCAAAAATGTGGATCAGTTGGTTAATTATAATGGGAGAAGAGTGACACTATTTTACATACATTGCTTATCAAGAGGATTGCTATACAGCGAGGCCACCATCCTCTATCTATCTGCACAGCAGGATCTACCATGACAGTCAGATCTTCATTCTCCTGCACACACACTGTGCATCGGCAGTCAAAAAAAGCAAATGGGATATTAGGAATCATTAAAACAGGGAGAGAGAATAAGATGGAGAAAATATTATTGCCCTTATATAAATCCATGGTATGTCCACATCTTGAATATTGCATACAGATGTGGTCCCTTTATCTGAAAAAAGATATACTGGCATTAGAAAAGCTTCAGAAAAGGGCAACTAAAATGATTGGGGGTTTGGAACGGGTCCCATATGAGGAGAGATTAAAGAGGCTAGGACTTTTCAATGTGGAAAAGAGGAGACTAAGGGTAGATATGATAGAGATATATAAAATCATGAGTGGTGTGGAGAAAGTGAATAAGGAAAAGTTATTTACTTGTTCCCACAATATAAGAACTAGGGGCCACCAAATGAAATTAATGAGTAGCAGGTTTAAAACAAATAAAAGGAAGTTCTTCACTCAGCGCACAGTTAACCTGTGGAACTCCTTGCCTGAGGAGGTTGTGAAGGCTAGGACTATAACAGGGTTTAGAAGAGAAGGGGATAAGTTCATGGAGGTTAAGCCCATTAATGACCATTAGCCAGGATGGGTAAGGAATGGTGGCCGTAGCCTGTTTGTCAGAGGGTGGAGATGGATGGCAGGAGAGAGATCACTTGATCGTTACCTGTTAGGTTCACTCCTTCTGGGGCACCTGGTTTTGGCCACTGTTGGTAGACCGGATACTGGGCTGGCTGGACCTTTGATCTGACCCATTATGGCCATTCTTATGATCACGAAATATGTCCTGAGTAGTGCAGGGCAGAGAGAGAGAGAGAGCAAGATCACCTTAAATTTTAGGTCACTAGTGGGATTTTCAAAAGCATCTAGCTGCTTTCAACCTTAAAAATCTGGCCTTTAGTTGATATTTGGGAACCAAATTGTACACACATGTGGTGGTGTGAAAAAACACCAAGGTCCTGGATAGAGGCAAAATAAAAGTTCACAAAGGCAATCCTCATTGGTGGATCAAAGGAAGCTGGAGAAGTTTTGACCAGTCCAGGAAATCAGTTAGTCTTGAAGTCATGTAATTCCAAAAAATAAATTTATACATGAGAAAGGAACAAAAAATTTAGAATTAAAAACTAATAGCCCTACAAACAGGAAGTGTTGGATTAGAAACATTGAGATGTGATTGCTGAAGCTACTGGCAACTATTATTTGCAATGATTATGTTATTAAAGTGTAAATAGCACAATGACAGCCATCTGCACCCTGGTAATGGAGGTTAATGATGGAGTGCTAAGACTCGTGAAAATAACATTTTAAAAAGTAAATAATTTAAAGGCATGAAATTTGGATTACAAGAAAAGGTGTCCCATTCAGGCACTCAGAACAGCAGTCCGTTTGCAAGTTTATGAACTGCTATGATGCTTCATGCAGACAAATAAATGGAGAAGGGTTTGTTTTTAACACTAAAAACGTGTCTGAGAATTATAATTTTTGGAGGGGGGGGGAAGGGAGGTCGAAATATTTCAGGGACTCAAGTCTCCTGTGGCAGCTCAGTATATCTCATCAGCCAAGGACGCGCTGCCTTGTATTGGGGATGCGGGGAGGGTCGTGCACGATGCCTTCAAGAACACAGCCTGGGGAAGCGGGTGCTGAGAGATGCTGCCCTGCCAGGCGGGAGGACGCACGACTCTGCCCCCTCTCCCCCCATTTGTGCAGCCACTGCAGCTTCGGTCTCACCCTATTTGGGGTCACTGGCCGCCACTGCCTGGCTGTGTCTCAACCCTCTTCTTAGCCCCGGCTCTTGCTCCCAGCCCGTGACTTCGCCCCTCTCCCTCCGCTGCCGCCAACGCTCGATCCACCCGCGCACGCGCAGTTCGGCCCCTGCGCGTCCCTCCGCCATCAGCCCGGAGAGCGGGGCCCGGCACGCGGCGTGTGCGCCCGCCAGAGGGCAGCGGCTCGCTGTCTCGGAGCATGCGCGGCAGCGCGGTAGGTAACGGTCAAGCCGCGGTCGTTGCCGCGTAACGTTGGGGCCATGATGGAGCGGTCGCTGCTGCGGGCGCGGCGGGGCGGTCCTGGGACCCGCTCGGTGTCGCTCCGCGGGCTGCGGCTGCAGCGCGTACCCCGGGGCCTGGCGAGCCTCCCGGGGCTGCGGGCCCTGAGCCTGCGCGACAACGAGCTGCGCTGTCTGCCCGCGGAGCTGGGCGGCCTGAGCCGGGTGAGGCCCCGCAGGCGGCTGCCACCTTCCCGCCCTGGGCCCCAGCGGATGCGGCCCCAGGGCGGGCGGCGCTACCCGGGGTCGCGGCCAGCTCGCTGGATTTACGGAGCGCTCCCGGCAAGGGCGCGCTGAGCCTCCTGCCGCCCCAGCCCAGTGTCTCGGGTGCGGAGGCTCCGCACAGCTCGCTCGGCGTCGCTCCTCGCCCACGCAGAGGCTGCCCCGCTGCCATCCCGGAGGGCTGCAGTCACCCCCACGAGCCCCAGGCGTGGCCTCTCAGCAGCTCCCCTCGCTACTGGCCTGACCCGTAGTGCCCGTGCCGCTGCCCTTTCTCCCCTCTCCGCCCCACACCTGCCCCTTCTTCGGTGCCGCGTCTCCCCATCGCATTGCTGACGCTGTGGTCCCTTGGCTGCTCCTCGCATTGGTGGCTCACGGGTAGAATTTTTGCCAATTGGGAGACCTGGGTTTGATTCCCTGCTCATAGAAAGCTTAGTTTTGAGGGCCATACTAGTTGATGATGTGGGGCCCCGTCCGGTTTTATAATCCATGCCCCTTTTTTTGATCACTAAAAATGTCAAAAGCAGGGATGGGAGTTGTGGCAACTCCAGATGTGGAAAGAAGAGCTTATCTCAGACGTCAGGTGGTGCAGAGATCCCTTGACTGTAGCTGCTAGCTGACATCAAGGCCCCCCTCCATATGTAACTTATAAGAAAGTACAGGACCTCTGGGGGTCAGTCTTATTGCCATTTGCATCTCATTTTAATAAACTTTTTTCCTAACTTTAGCTGAAATAAGTGGTCAGTCCTGACAATATAACAGTAAGGTGCATACAGTTAGAAAAACACATTGTCTCAAAACCCTAGTTTTTAGTTGGTCATATTTTATTGTAGGTCCTCCTTGGTCTCTTTTTCCCTGATATTTCATTCAGAATTTTGAGCACCCTGGTTAATGGCAAATATCTATCATTAGTGACTGAATTGCCCAGTAATACCTGTCTAAACTATCCAAAATTAATTGAGATGACATGTGGAGATGACATATATCTTTTTGCGGATACAGACTAACACAGCTGCTACTCTGAAATGTGGAAGCTGTATTTGTAATACAAATGATTTGGTTCTTGAGGTTTGATCAGATTAAATAAGGACTAAATTAACCACCTATTGAATCAAGTGGAAGGTGGTGCTGGGAAATAGTATCATACTGTTACCGTATATGTAGTTAGGGTGTGCCAGCTTTTCCATTCTAAGATTGTGTTTTTAATGGATCATAAACTTGATAGTAAAAAGAACGAGGAGTACTTGTGGCATTTTAGAGACTAATGAATTTATTTGAGCATGAGCTTTCGTGGGCTAAAACCCACTGACTGATGAAGTGGGTTTTAGCCCACGAAAGTTTATGCTAAAATAAATTTGTTAGTCTCTAAAGTGCCACAAGTACTCCTCGTTCTTTTTGCTCATACAGACTAACATGGCTACTACCACTCTGAAACTTGATAGTGGAAGTTTGAATACAGGCTGAAATTTGGCTTTATCATGGATCAGTGTGGGATGAATATACATTTCTTTAAACCAAAATTTTTTTAACATTCTGGTAAAATTCAAACTACTTTACTTTAAAAATACTCAAAACCTGTAACTGTGGCAAGAAAACAAATGCATATATTTTTCCATTATTTTAAAAAGGACTTTTACTCTATGCTGAGGGGACACAGGAACTGCTGATCGTCCCCCAATGTGATCTGGAGATGTCCTGAGGCAGAGCCTTTGCTATTCAATGTGTGTGATTCTGGAAAAGTCTCTTCATTGTTGCATCCTAGGGTTTATCTATGTCAGCCTCTGGATTTTAGATTTATTTTAGGGCTGTCAATTGATCACAGTTAACTCACGTGATTAACTCAAAAAAATTAACTGTGATTAAAAAAATTAATCACAATCGCACTGTTAATAGAATACCAATTGAAATGTATTAAATATTTTTGATGTTTTTCTGCATTTTCAAATATATTGATTTTTTTATTACAACACAGAACACGTGCTTGTTTTATATTATTATTTTGATTACAAATATTTGCACTGTAAAAATAAACAAAAACAATATTGCTCACCTCATACAAGTACTGTAGTGCAATCTCTATCGTGAAAGTGCAATTTACAAATGTAGATTTTGTTACATACCTGCACTCAAAAACAAAACAATGTAAAACTTTAGAGCCTACAAGTGCACTCAGTCCGACTTCTTGTTCAGCCAATTGCTAAGACAAACAAGTTTGTTTAGATTTATGGGAGATACTGCTGACTGCTTCTCATTTACAATGTCGCCTGAAAGTGAGAAAAGGCGTTCGCATGGCACTTTTGTAGTTGGCATTGCAAGGTATTTACGTGTCAGATATGCTAAACATTCATATGCCCCTTCGTGCTTTGGCAACCATTCCAGAGGACATGCTTCTATGCTGATGATGCTTGTTAAAAAAAATGTGTTAATTAAATTTGTGACTGAACTTTTTGGGGAGAATTGTATGTCCCCTGCTCTGTTTTATCCATATTCTGCCATATATTTCATGTTATAGCAGTCTCGAATGATCACCCAGCACATGTTGTTCATTTTAAGAACTCTTTCACTGCAGATTTCACAAAACGCAAAGAAGGTACCAATGTAAGATTTCTAAAGATAGCTATGGCACTTGACCCAAGGTTTAAGAGTCTTCCAAAATCTGAGAGGGATGAGGTGTGGAGCATGCTTTCAGAAGTCTTAAAAGAGAAACACTCCAATGCGAAAACTACAGAACCCGAACCACTAAAAAAGAAAATCAGCCTTCTGATGGCGGTATCTAACTCCTGATGAAAATGAACATGCATCGGTCCACTCCGCTTTGGATCATTATCAAGCAGAACCCGTCATCAGCATGGATGCATGTCTTCTGGAATGATGGTTGAAGCACGAAGGGACATGTGAATATTTAGCGCATCTGGCATGTAAATATCTTGCGATGCCAGCTACAACAATGCCATGCGAAAACCTGTTCTCACTTTCAGGTGACATTGTAAACAAGCTGTGGGCAGTATTATCTCCTGTAAATTGTAACCAAACTTGTTTGTCTGAGGGATTGGCTGAAGTAGGACTGAGTGAATTTGTAGGTTCTAAAGTTTTACATTTTTATTTTTTAATGCAGTTTTTTTTGTACATAATTCTACATTTGTAAATTCAACTTTCATTATAAAGAGATTGCACTACAGTACTTATATTAGGTTGTAATAAAAAAGAAATATGAGCACTGTACACTTTGTATTCTGTATTCTGATTGAAATAAATATATTTGAAAATGTAGAAAACATCCAAAATATTTAAATAAATGGTATTCTATTATTGTTTAACAATGCGATTAATCACGATTAATTTTTTAATCACTTGACAGCCCTAATTTATTTATGTAATCTGTGTAAGATGTGTGAATTTTTCTGGGGTGTTAAGATTAGTTTTGAGTGTGCAAATATGTGTGTACTAAATAAACTACACTAATTCCTAGATGTGATTGAGCATTCCATTACCCTCATCCCTCCAGAAATTATTGAAATTCCAACGTAAAATTGTTCTTAGTTACACCAGTAACTATTGATTTCAACAGAGTTATACTACATTTATATTTGTGTAACAGGATCCACCCCTTTTCTTAGTATTGTTGGTTTGTTATATATTTTGTTGACAATTTAATTAGTTATTTTATGTTAACTAATTAGAAGAGTAAAATGGAATTTTCCTAAAACTAATCTTATGCTACATGAAATTGTTTTATTATATGTACTTTGAATGTATGCATTAATTTTCTGTAATATAGGGAGAATAGAAGGGAAATTTAATCAAGGTCTTAATTTCCTGGGCACTTGTGTTTAAAATGTGATCAGCTTATGTTTTTCAGTCTTTCTTTGCTAAGGAGGATACAGTGTGAAAGAACATTTATAAATATCTCTTTATAGTTGAGGGAACTAAATTTGGGAAACAATATCTTTGAGGAAGTTCCAGAACAGCTGAAATATCTCAGTTCACTGCAAAAGCTTCACTTGTTTGGAAATAAGATTACTACAATATCGCCCACAATATTTGGTAAATCAAAGTCAAATCAAAACAGACAATTAAGTAATTAGTGTTTTTAGACTTAAACTATAATAATACTTTAGCTATTTTATATATTCAGACTAAACAGGATTGTTTGGTAAAGAGTGCAGTATTTTTCGTACCTGTTTTATAAACTTTTTATTGCTCTGTATGGAAAATTGTTATGTTTGGAAGAAAAAGTTACATATTAATGCAGTATGCAATTTTCTTTATATGTCTTATTAAATTAGTTATGTGACCAGTAGCAAGGGCGTCAGAGCTTTCCCAAAAGTGTGGGGGGGGGGCGGTGCTGGGCCCCTGCCCAAGCTGGAAGTCGGAGGTGTCTAGGAAGCCCCTCCCGGCCATGTTGGGGGTGGGATCAAACTACTGTCTGTGTCCTGTGCTCCCCACAGCTGCCCATGCGGCTCTCCCTGACCCAACTCTGGCCCGGGAGTGCCTTGGAGCTGCAGCCTGGCCATGATAAGAGCTGCGCGGGCAGCTGTGGGGAGCCACGACGGACCCTCCACCTGCCTGCGGTATGGAGAGTCCATTCCGCGGATCCCCACAGCTGCCCACGCGACCCTTACCACAGCTGGGCTGCGGCTCTGAGGCAGGGTATTCCTGCCCCCCCCCCCCCCCCCCGGAGCTAGGTTGGTGAGAGCCACGCAGGCAGCTGTGGGGA